GGTACAGCTGAGAGGGCTAACCAGTCTTTAGAGTTATACTTGCATTGTTTAGTTAATAGCACTCAAGACAATTGGTCCGAATTATTACCATGGGCCGAGTTTGCTAGGAACAATGCTGACCATGATTCCTCTAAGCATAGTCCTTTTTTTTGTTAATAATGGCCAGCATCCTACTGTCTTGCTGTGTTTTCTGATACGGCTATTCCTGCTTTGGATGACCGTCTGGCTTCCATCCGTGATACCTGTGTTAAAGTTCAATCTGCTCTGGGTACTGCTGCTGACCGTTTCAAGCATTATGCTGATACACGTCGAGGTGCCAACCCTGTTTACCAAGTGGGTGAGAGGGTTTGGTTATCTTCTCGTAACATCAGGCTCAAAGTCCCTAGCATGAATTTTGCTCCTAGGTTCCTTGGACCTTTTCGTGTCCTTCGTAGGATCAATCCTGTTGCGTACTCTTTGGCCCTTCCGGCTTTCTTGAAAATTCCTAATACCTTTCATGTGTCCTTGCTCAAACCTCTTGTTTGCAATTAATATACTGTGTCAAGTGTCCCTCCTCCTCCCTTAGTTGTTTCTGGACAGGGAGAGTATGAGGTCTCCTCCATAATTGATTCCAGGTTTTCTCGGGGCACTTTACAGTACTTGGTGGATTGGAAAGGTTATGGACCAGCCGATCGTTCTTGGGTTCCGGCATCTGATATACATGCTGGCCGCAAGATTCGCTATTTCCATGCCAAATTTCCTCTCAAGCCTGGTCCTGCCCGCCCGGTGGGCGTTCTTCAGGTGGGGGTAATGTCACGTATTCATCCGCTTATAAAAATGTGGTTAATGGCATTTAATGTCCACACATGAAAAGTTGTGCCGAGCAGCAACCAAATCCACAGAAGGGTTAATGCTGAGCAGCAATTATGCAAATGGGAACCTGGTAACTGCCTTTGGGGTCAAAGGCCGGTTACAGCCTATCAGATCTAAAGGAGGGGTATTTAGGCCCAGTTCTCATCCTGCTCAGTGCCCTGTCGTGGTTTCCCTTGTGGTTGTCCGAGAGCGTGTTATTGATTTTGGTTATTCTGGTTATTTGACTTTGGCATTGTTTTTGACTTCCCTGTTTTCTGGCATCCCTGACTCCTGGCTTTTCCTTATCGTTGTGTCTCTTTCTGTATCCTTTGACCTCGGCTATTCCTGACTATTCTTTGGTACGTTAGTGCGGCCATTCTAAGGTCCGGTATACGTTACCTATCAGTCCTCTGTGTTACACAATTCTACGTGCTGGATCATTCTGTAATCCTGACAGAAAGACAGAGTCTTCTATTTCAATAACAGACTTTATATACCCCCATCTCTTAGACAAAAAATACTTATGATAATTCATGACTCTCCTCTAGCAGGTCATGCAGATATTAAGAAGACTCTCAAATTATCTTCCAGGTATTATTGGTGGCCTCATCAAAACAAAACAGTAGAATCTTATGTTAAATAATTGTTCCAAATGTCAAAGATCTAAACCTGAACATCATCACCCTTTCAGGTTACTAATGAACTTACCAATTCCTGAAAGGCCTTGGCAATCCATCTCTATGGATTTTATCGTGGAACTCCCTCCATCTCAAACTTTCACTACTGTGGATCAATTCACGAAGATGTCTCATTTTCTTCCATTAAAGAAATTACCCTCATCTTCTGAACTTTCAAAAGTATGCATCAATAACATCGTTAAACTCCATGGACTTCCTGAAGAGATCATCTCGGATAGAGGAACGCAATTCACCTCTAAATTCTGGAAAGAAATGTTCTTCTCTTCGGATACAACGTAAGCTCTCTTCTACATATCATCCCCAAACCAATGGGCAAACAGAAAGAGTCAATCAGTGTCTGGAACAATATCTACGTTGTTATTGTACTCATCTTCAAGATGATTGGGTCACTTAGTTACCAATGGCTGAGTTTGCCTACAACAATTCTATCCACACCAGTACTAAAATTACTCCTTTTCTTTTCAAATTACGTGTTTTCACCACTTTTCTTTTCCAGGTGACATCGGTTCTACGTCTAGTCCTGCTGTCAGTGAATGGAACACTTCCATATCCACTTTGTTCCTCAAATTAAAAGCAAACCTTGAGTCCTAACTACGGAGCCACAAGAAGTTTGCAGATGCTAAAAGGCTTCCATTGAAACTTCCTCCCACAGTTAAACTTCATCCTGTTTTTCATGTATCACTATTGAAACCTCATCTTCCTGGTCCCTTCCACAGGGATGTGATTATCCAGTCATCGTTCAGGCTGAAGAGGAAGGTTCTAGATTCTAGAATCCACCGGGGCTCGTTACAATATCTTATAAGATGGAAAGGTTATGGAGTTGATGATGATACTTGGGAGGATTCTTCTGTTGTTCATGCTGACCGATTGGTTGAGGCCTTCCATAGATGTTACCCCTTTAAGCATAAATGATAGCACACTGAGTGTGCTCCTTGGGGGGGGGAGTGGGTACTGTCAGAACTTAACTTTTTTATGCTGATATCTGCTAACTTCCATGTGAGTGAATAAATCATTTTATACTGTTGATTTATATTGCCTGCTAACTGGATTCTCTATTATTTCTATACATTACCTGATGGGAGAAATCTTCCTGATCCCTAGACTGAGCAGCATCTATACTAATACTAAAGGCACATATACTTCTTACCATTGTGAGTGGCCATTTGTCACATATCTAAATATTGTACACATACAGTGTTGCACTATGCTGTGTCATTTCTTCCCTATATAGGATTCACTATATATATATAGAGAGAGAGAGAGAGAGAGATAGAGAGAGAGAACTTAACCCGCGATCCGACACTTCCGGGTTCACAGACTATTGACACGCCTCCTCTGACTCAGCTTCCTCACGCTACTTAGAGAAACCACGCCAGATTCAAAGTGCTTGATTATTTTGAAGCTTCCTGATCAATCAGACCGGCTACAAACAAGCTCTCTCTTTCTACAAATTACGTGTACTGAACCTGGATTGTTGTAACCGCTGCTCTCCATTCACCTTCCAATTGACTCGGATTACCTTTGGATTCTCTCTGCTTCATAAAGCTAATGATCATAAACGCAAGTTATAATATTGGATGATTACCTTTCCATTGGCACTTCAGTTTCCACTACGTGTCTTCCTACTGAGATCAATTGGAAGTTGTAATTGTATTTACTGCATGAATTTATTCATATGGATTCGCCTTATGAACTTTCCTTATAAAAATAAGTTACTAACTTTATACCCGTGTTCCTTAAAGCTACAGGAACTCTCTCATCAAACTACCTTCATATTGTGTTCCTTAAAGCTACAGGAACTCTCTCATCAAACTATCTCCTTATTGTGTTTGCTAAAGCTACAGGAACTTTTTCATCAAACTATCTCCATATTGTGTTCCTTAAAGATACAGGAACTTTCTCATCAAACTATCTCCATATTGTGTTCCTTAAAGCTACAGGAACTTTCTCATCAAACTATCTCCATATTGTGTTCCTTAAAGCTACAGGAACTTTCTCATCAAACTATCTCCATATTGTGTTCCTTAAAGCTACAGGAACTCTCTCATCAAACTATCTTCATATTGTGTTCCTTAAAGCTACAGGAACTCTCTCATCAAACTATCTTCATATTGTGTTCCTTAAAGCTACAGGAACTCTCTCATCAAACAATCTTCATATTGTGTTCCTTAAAGCTACAGGAACTCTCTCATCAAACTATCTCCATATTGTGTTCCTTAACGCTACATGAACTTTCTCATCAAACAATCTTTATATTGTGTTCCTTAAAGCTATTGGAACTCTCTCATCAAACTACATCTATATTGTATACAGGAACTCATCGCATTCCTACATCTGCATGTCTCGTTCCTTAAAGCTACAGGAACTCTTCTCGTCAAACTATATCTACAGTTGCAAGAAAAAGTATGTGAACCCTTTGGAATGATATGGATTTCTGCACAAATTGGTCATACAATGTGATCTGATCATCATCTAATTCACAACAATAGACAATCACAGTCTGCTTAAACTAATAACACAGAATGAAATGTTGCCATGTTTTTATTGAACACACTATGTAAACATTCACAGTGCAGGTGGAAAAAGTATGTGAACCCTTAGATTTAATAACTGGTTGAACCTCCTTTGGCAGCAATAACTTCAACCAAACGTTTCCTGTAGTTGCAGATCAGACGTGCACAACAGTCAGGAGTAATTCTTGACCATTCCTCTCTACAGAATTGTTTTAGTTCAGCAATATTCACAATATTCTTGGGATGTCTGGTGTGAATCGCTTTCTTGAGGTCATGACACAGCATCTCAATCGGGTTGAGGTCAGGACTCTGACTGGGCCACTTCAGAAGGCATATTTTCTTCTGTTTAAGCCATTATGTTGTTGATTTACATCTATCCTTTGGGTCATTGTCCTGTTGCAACACCCATCTTCTGTTGAGCTTCAGCTGGTAGGCAGATGGCCTTAAGTTCTCCTGCAAAATGTCTTGATAAACTTGGGAATTAATTTTTCCTTTCATGATAGCAAGCCGTCCAGGCCTTGATGCAGCAAAGCAGCCCCACCATGATGCCCCCACCACCAAACTTCACAGTTGGGATGAGGTTTTGATGTTGGTGTGCTGTGCCTTTTTTTCACCACACATAGTGTTGTGTGTTTCTTCCAAACAACTCAACTTTGGTTTCATCTGTCCACAGAATATTTTGCCAGTACTGCTGTGGAACATCCAGGTGCTCTTGTGCAAACTGTAAACATTCAGCAATGTTTTGTTTGGACAGCAGTGGCTTCCTCTGTGGTATCCTCCCATGAAATCCATTCTTGTTTAGTTTTTTACGTATTGTAGATTCGCTAACAGGGATGTTAGCATTTGCCAGTGACTTTTGTAAATCTTTAGCTGACATTCTAGAATTCTTCTTCACCTCATTGAGCAGTCTGCGCTGTGCTCTTGCAGTCATCTTTACAGGACCGCCACTCCTAGGGAGAGTAGCAGTGCTGAACTTTCTCTATTTATATGCAATTTGTCTTACTGTGGACTGATGAACAGCAAGGCTTTGGGAGATACTTTTATAACCCTTTCCAGCTTTATGCAAGTCAACAATTCTTAATCGTAGGTCTTCTGAGAGCTCTTTTGTGCGAGGCATCATTCACATCAGGCAATGCTTCTTGTGAAAAGCAAACCCAGAACTGGTGTGTTTTTTTTATAGGGCAGGGCAGCTGTAACCAACACCTCCAATCTCATCTCATTGATTGGACTCCAGTTGGCTGACATCTCATTCCAATTAGCTCTTGGAGATGTCATTAGTCTAGGGGTTCACATACTTTTTCCACCTGCACTGTGAATGTTTACATGGTGTGTTCAATAAAAACATGGCAACATTTCATTCTTTGTGTGTTATTAGTTTAAGCAGACTGTGATTGTCTATTGTTGTGACTTAGATGATGACCAGATCACATTTTATGTGCAGAAATCCATATCATTCCAAAGGGTTCACATACTTTTTCTTGCAACTGTATATTGTATTCCTTTAAGCTACAGGAACTCATCACATTCTTATATCTGCATGTCTTGTTCCTTAAAGCTACAGGAACTCTTCTCATCAAACTACATCTATATTGTATTCCTTAAAGCTACAGGAACTTTTCTCACAAACTATCTTCATATTGTTCCCTTAAAACTACAGGAACTATTCTCTTCAAACTTTCTACATATCGTGTTCCTTAAGACTATAGGAACCCTTCTAATCGAACTCAAATTATCTTCATTTTGTGTTCTTCACATTACTGGGACTGTTCTCATCAATCCACTATTAAATAATCCTTATTTAAGAATTATTCTATCTCTCCTAATTATGCTATTAAAACATAGGGTTCTCCTAATTATAATTCTGCAGATGAGTTCCACTGCAAATCCATAGGAAGTATTACAGTATGTCTCTGTATGCTTGTGTCTATGTATCTGTATGACTTCATGTCTGTTTTTTCATATCTCTGTATGACTGTGTCTTTACTTCTCTTTATGACAGTGCCAGCATGTCTGTGTGTGTAAAAATGGCAAAAAGAAAAAATCTAATTGAAAAAAATCAGATTGCTGCAACCAGGAGATAGTTACTATCACTTTCAATTCTAAAATATTTTAACCTCAATACTTAGAAATATGCAGAAGTATTGAGTCTGCTAAACAATGTTATACAATGAATCAGTAATGTAGATAGTAATGATTATATGATCTACAATATACACAACCCAAATAGCACTATATAGATTGTATCAACATGTAAAGAGACTGATAATAGTTGCAATCCTTACTAGTTAAAGCACCATAAATAAACAAAACAGTCCTAGTTGGTCTTTTTGAACTGTCTGCTCCTATTTGCATACGGCTGAAATCCCTTCTATTGAAACAGAGGGGAAAAACTGGCCAATGGGAGCCGTATACAAATAGGAGCAGACAGTTCAAAAAGACCAACTAGGACTGTTTTGTTTATTTATGGTGCTTTAACTAGTAAGGATTGCAACTATTATCAGTCTCTTTACATGTTGATACAATCTATATAGTGCTATTTGGGTTGTGTATATTGTAGATTATGTAATCATTACTATCTACATTACTGATTCATTGTATAACATTGTTTAGCAGACTCACTACTTCTGCATATTTCTAAGTATTGAGGTTAAAATATTTTAGAATTGAAAGTGATAGTAACTATCTCCTGGTTGCAGCAATCTGATTTTTTCAATCTGATTTTTTCTTTTTGCTATTTTTACTCTTTTTATAAATTTTTCAGCCTAAGGTGTGGGCTGATTTACTGGGATTTGAGGAGTTACTCACTTCAGCTGAGACCATTCTTAAAACCTTCCTATTTTATCAGAAAGGAAGTAATTCCTTTTCTTGTGATTCTTTATTCCACTATGTATCTGTGTGTGTCTGTATGACAGTATACCTGTATGTGTTGATTGTATGACTCCGTACTTGTATGACTGTTTTATTTATTGTATGCCTGCATATCTCTGTGACTGTGCCTGTATAGTTGTGTATTGCTATATATCTATGCCTATATGACTTATGAGGAAAAAGACACACAAAGGGCCCTGAGGGGAAGAGGGACACATTAAAAAAAAATGGGCTGAGGGGAAAGACCCACAAAAAAGGGCTGTGTGAAAGAAAGAGACAGACAAAGGAGCTAGGGGGGAAGAAAAATACACAAGGGGGGTTGTAAGAGACATGTAAAGGGATGTAAGGCACACTAAAGGGGGATACACTATACTATATGGGGTAAGAATTTCAAAAGGGATGTTACGAGACACCGCTGAAGATGCATTTTTTTGGGGGGTAGAGGGGCGGCAAAATTCATCTTTGCCTGTGTAGCCAAAAATTCTTGCACCGGTCCTGCAGACACATAATAAGTAGGATAGTAGATGATATTCAGTTGTCCTTATTAGAACAAACAACCACATACTTGCGCTGACCTTATCTTAGGATAGTGATGAAATACTTACGGCAGAGCCTATAGTAATGATAAGATCATTCTGCAGCTTGTTTTATCTGCAAAGATAAACACCAGTCCAAGCATTTAATCCACAAGTATTACATAAATGCAATGTAAGAAGTGACCATCACTTCAGGGCCGTCTTTAACGCAGAATAAAAGGGGCAGCTGCCTCTTGAGCCCTGCTGCTCACAACAATTTGCAAAGTATTTTGCCCCCCGATCCGATCCTTCACTATGCGAGTAGAGTCTGAGTCACGGCAGCACTAGGGTGAGGCCCGGGTCATAGCACAGAAGCTTTAGACTCCTCCCAGAACGGCAGAGTGGCACCTCACACCCTTTCCGCCCTGATCCCTGAGCTTGCTGGTGTCTTCAAAACTGTAAGTATTTAATTCCTATTGACTGGAGTAAGGGGAGCTATTACTTGTTTGAGGGGGCCGGGTCGTTGGAGAGGGAGGGGGGAGTGGGTGGGGGGTTAGTACAGTACAATCTGTGCATTTTAAAAAAAGTAATCTGGAAAATACAACATTTTTGTGTCCGAAGTTGTGTTATATATCAAGCTAGGAATGTGCTTTTTTTTTTTTTTTTTTTTTTTTAGAATAAGGATACAGCCATTTTATTCAATACATTTGTGCTCATTTCTGTGCTGGTTGGAAAAAAATATATACAGGTGATACTTGAAAAATTAGAATATTGTGCAAAAGTTCATTTATTTCAGTAATGCAACGTAAAAGGGGAAACTAATATATGAGATAGACGCATTACATGCAAAGCAAGATAGTTCAAGCCATGATTTGTCATAAGTGCCATGATTATGTCCTTATAGGACATAGGCTGCTCACTGTTTAGTAGACATGCCCCTACTCGCAGTATAGCGAGTAGGGGCATTTGAGAGATTTTAATCTGACCCCCATAGAGTGAGGGAGGACATGGGAGGCTTAGGAAGTGATGGGGAGCACTGCTCCCTGCCGCTTCTATCTTTACATATTACAAGGAGGGAGCTGCGCACCGGTAGCTCCCTTCTTGTAATAAACTTAACGAACTAACAAACACTGATATTCAGTGTTTGTTTGTTCGCCTGAAATTTCTAGTCATTCATTCGTCTTTCTGATGAATGAATAGATGAAATTCCCATTCGCATGCCCAAGTTTTATAACTGGGTACGTGCAGCAATCGCACAGCGCTATCTAGTGTGGGCAGATGACGTGTCCCACAGGGACTTCCTCTACCCAGGGCCGGATTAACATAGGGGCTGATGGAGCTGCAGCTCCAGGCCCAGGCCCATGGAATAGGCCCATTAAAAAAAAATTTTTTTTTTTTTTTTTTTACACACTACTCTTAGGTTTGCCACCTGACTGGTATTTTAATGACACAGACTGTATTTGAGGCTGCCTGGCCATGCCGGTATTGCAGTAATACCAGCAATACAAATGCAGGTAATTTTCTCAGAATAAATGGAAATTACTCTGCAATACCAGCACCGGCCAGTAGGGGTCACTGTGTATGGAGAGAGGCAGGGATAGGAAGTTACAGAATATCCCTCCCTGCCTCTCTCTACTCACTGATCCGTGGGGGAGCAGCTACACAACACAGAGAGTCCAGACAGGAGCTCTACAGCTCAGGTAAGTGAGGGATGGGGGGGGGGAGAAAGGCAGCAGGGACACATAGGGACACTGAGACACTAGGGGACACAGACACTGGGGGACACTAGGGGACACATGGGGACACTGAGACACTAGGAGACACAGACACTAGGGGACACATGATGACACATACGCTAGGGGACACAGACACTAGGGGACACATGATGACACATACGCTAGGGGACACTGAGACACTAGGACAAAGACACTGGGAGACCTGGGAACACTGAGACACTTGGGGACACTGAGACACTTGGGGACATATGGTGACACAGACACTAGGGGACACAGACATTAGGGGACACATGGGGACACTGTCACTAGGGGACACTGAGACACTAGGACACATGGGGACACAGACACTGGGAGACCTGGGGACACTGAGACACTTGGGGACACTGGAAAACATGGGGACACTGAGACACTAGGGGACACTGGGACACATGGGAATGCTGAGACACATGGGGACGCTGTGAGACATAGGGACATTGGGAGACATTGGGACATGGAGACACTATGTCCCCCAGCCAGTGTCCCTAGTGTCTCAGTGTCCCCAAGTCTTCCAGTGTCTGTTTCCCATGTCTCTCAGTGTGCCTGGTGTTCCCATGTCTCCCAGTGTCCCTATATGTCCCAGTGTCCACATGTCTATGTCCACAACTGTCCCCATGTCTCCCAGTGTCCCCAAGTGTCTGTCTCCCAGCCAGTGTCCCCTAGTCTCCCAGTGTCCCCTAATCTCCCAGTGTCTGTGTTCCCATGTCTGTGTCCCTAGTGTCTTAGTGTCCCCATGTCTCCCAGTGTCTGTGTCCCTAGTGTCTCAGTGTCCCCATTTCTCCCAGTTTCCCTAAATGTCTGTGTCCCCATGTCTCCCAGTGTCCCCGGGTCTCTGTGTCACCAGTATCCTAGTGACATGGGGACACACTGAGACATTGGGACACTGGGAGAAATGGGGACACAGACACTGGGAGACTAGGGGACTGGGCGACATGGGGACACTGACACTGTGATACATAGGGACACTGAGACACTGGGTGACTTGCGAGACTGAGACACTGGGAGACAGGGAGACACTGGGAGCAATCCATCTATAAGGCAGAATCAAACTGTGAGTAGTTTGGTGATTTTACAGAATTTTCTCTGATGTCACTCCTTGTGATTTACATATGTGATGTCACGCATAACTAATTAATTATACAAATGATTAAGGCTGGTATTTTTTTCCAAGAAAGGTGGCAACCTTAACTACTCTTCACATACTCTTGCTTAAAGGAGCACTATAGGGTCAGGAACACAATCATGTATTTCTGACCCTATTATGTTAAAACCACCACCCATTCTTGCCCCTTCTTGCCTCCCTAAATATAGTAAAATATTACTTGTATTCAATTCTGCAGCTGCTGGCTCAGAAGTGGTGGTCTGAGCAAATTACAATACTTCCCCATAGGATTGGCTGAGACTGTCAACTAGGCAGATCAGGGGCAGAGCCAGCACAAGTCCAACATAGCCCTGGCCAATCAGCATCTCCTCATAAAGATAAATTGAATCAATGCATCTCTATGAGGAAAGTTCAGTATCTGCATGCAGAGGGTGGAGACACTGAATGGCAGTGCTGCACACTAGGCAGTACTGCCCCAGGAAGCACCTCTAGCAGCCATCTAAGGACCAGCCAGTGGAGTTATTTTCTCTGAAAAGACAGTGTTTACTGCAAAAAGCCTGAATGGAATGATTCTACTTACCAGAACAAATACAATAAGCTGTAGTTGTTCTGGTGACTATAGTGTCCCTTTAAGTTTGGAAGCTTAAGAGGGATGTATGGGAACAAAACTTGTGTGCACTTGCTGACATTAAAGTTAGTTTAGGTAATGCAGACGTTGGTCTCTCTAACACTGTGGCATGTCCCCTTTCTTCTACACTCACTACAGACACCTTTTCTCTGTCTCAGACTATATACCAGGAACTTCTGCCTGTTAGTAAGAAGGTAAGGAGACAAGTGGACCAGCAAGTTCTTAGAAAGAATGGAGTGAGCACATCATTAGACGCATTTATGTCAAGCTCAAGGTGCTGCCTGCATAGTATGCACTTAGTTGGACAGCCTGCAGGATTGGCAGGCAGCCTGGCATGCATTCATGCCAGGCTGACCTTCCAATTCTTTGGACAAACATGCCCCTTTTTGGGCATGTTCACCCCTTCTGGCAGGTCTTGTCACGTGATTCGCGCCAGTGGCACACCCTTTTACTCCGCCCATTGACTTCGTGCTTCACTGGACACTGCTGTTAGGGGTTATGGATTTACTTGAAAGATGAAAGCATAAATTAGAGAGAAATTAGCATAGAGTATGTGTTTTCTTATAGCTGCATCCTATGAGTTTCCCTCCAGCACCATCTCCATCAGATACATGACGCTTGGTATGATTGTTTTAGTGTTTTTGGTCGATAAGATTCCGTAATTAGGCCCATCATAATTGTCAGCACCAGGCCCACTGTGCTCTTAATCCGGCCCTGCCTCTACCCACACAAAGATGGCGGCGCCCAGAATATAGATCGGGGTAGAAAATAAAGTTTAAAAATAGGTAATATATGAGTGACTAGGGGGTCAGTTAGATGTAGTGCAGTCGGGAGGGGGGGTTAAAAAAAACCAGGGATTCGGCCATGGCAGCATCGCTTTAAGGGGAGGGGAGACTAATAGTAATGCCCCATAGAGCATTATAAATTAAAAAACAAATAGTTTTTTTTTTTTTTGCGTTGGACTAACCCTTAGAGTGAAAAGCAAATGAAGCTTGGGCTCATTATGGGGCTAAATATACAAAAAAAAACAAAAACAAAACAAGAAATATACAAAATTTAATGTAACAAAATCAAATACAAGGAATTGTCTGTACCGACAAAGCAGTATCGTTATCGGTGAACCTACATGCGACATATAATACATTATATAGACACCCTTATAGCACTACAGTTCCCCTTGATGCCTTTAGAGAGTCGTAGTTTTACCAGTTGAAGAAGCTGCCTTTAGGCCCCCCATACTTTTTACCAAGCACCAGATTTCATCTAATCTCCAAAATCCATATTAGACGCGTGTTCCGCTATTTCATAACAACGAATCCGATTGGTAAATTCCTTAGGCGTTTTGGAACGCAAATTAAACCCATGTGATGCAAACGGTGTTTTCCGGCGATCTACTTCCGGTTGTATCTCAATATGGGATTCACGGATCGGCGATGCTGTTACAGTGACATTCTCTTCCGAACCGTATGTGTTCGTTTCTGTGTTAGTTTAAGAATGCTGGTGTATTTTATACTATTACCCGAGTATGCATTCGGAATGTTATTTTTAGTTTATTAAGAGAAACTTTATTGTGTAGCGGGAATCCTCAAAAGTTGTATTTCAAATGAATACCATCAATAAATTATAGGTTTACCTATCGTTCAGTGAGGGTTTACAATGGATAATCAGCTTTCCAATTAAAATGGGAATGATAGTGCATATTCAGCGCCGTTGTTCGGGCTGCATTGCTTTCATGCATTAATGCAAGGATGTCCATTAAAAGTGATTCATAATTATATCCTTTTAGGCAGCTTTGATTTTATGCGGAAATATACTTCGCATTGAGTGATGTCTGTTACAGTTACTCCTGGCACTACTGCTGTGTTGTAACATAGATTTCTCTGAAAGATTGTACAAGGTTTTTCACTAAACTGTACATGTTTGTAAAGCAAAATACATTTTAAATTTAATGCCAAAGTATGCAAATTGGAAGCATGTTTAATTGGGAGAATTTTTACAGTAAATCTATTATGACAAATTTTAAAGTTCACTTTGAAATCCTGACAGTTCTCATTTTAGTGCATATCCTATGTTGGACTTTATTCATTAAAGGGATACTATAGTCTTAGGAATACAAATCTGTATTCCTAACACTAAAGAGCCCTCCGTTCCCCGCCTCACCTGCCCTATCCTTACCATTTAAAGGATTTAAAACTCTTTAGCCACTTACTCGATTCCAGCGCCAATGTCATCAGATGCGGGAAGGTGTGCATGCGCGGCGAGTAACGCAAACACTAGAGGCAATCATAGTCCTGCAATGTAATTACTGCAATTGCTAAAAAAACTGGAATGATTTACAATGCAGGACTAAGTGGAACTGGGACACTGCACCCAGACCACGTCAATGAGATGTGCAAAAATTAGGCCACAGATTTGGAAAATTTAAAAGTTCAGTGTTAAATGAATAAAGGTGTTAATTAACTTAAAGGGACATAAACACAACACAACAGCTGTAGTAGTAGGTGCAGGTCAACTTTGGCACATCAGCTTTTGTCATCCCAGATTGTCAGTGTCTGCCTATGTGTGATGGTAGCTGTGCTCATCAGCATCCAATGCAGGAAGATCTGTGGAATTCAATTCCTGCCATGCTTAGGTTTGATGGAAGTGGTGGTCCCTGTTTAAAAATTAAAATAAAAAATACTGCTTGTTTCTGATAAATATGTAAATCAGTTTGAAATAGTTATTAGAAAATGTTAATAACTACAACTTAATTAAGAAGTATTGGTGAATATATTATACTCCTGCAATCTAACAATTAGCAGCCCTCCCCACCCTCTTCCCAGCGTACATAGTTACCCTCAGCGACAATCCCTATCGGGGGCACTATCTGAAAACTCGATCACATGACCAGATCAGCAGTTTAAAGCACCTCATGTAGGTGTACTGACTCAGTTGTCAGGCAGATCCCCTTAACATGTAGTAATAATGGAAAAAAAACAACAAAAAAACACAATTAAAGGAACACTATAGTGACAGGAATTCCTGTCAATATAGTATTAAAACAGCAGTTAAGGTCCCCGAACTCCCTTGGCACTCTTTAAAAAAAAAAAAAAAAGTATACATTTTACCTTTATTCCAGCGCCGAGTGGGTCTTATACATCCCAGGGTATTTCAAAAGGCATATTTTTAACCTTAATGTGGGATCATGTTTTCGCTAGTTTGTTCCAGGTGTAAGGGTAATTTTTTAAACTGTTTTTACTTTGTAAAACGTTTTTTAAACTTTTTTTTCCGCTTTTAAAATTTTTATAAACTTTTTTTTTCTTACTGTTCAACCCTAACTAGCCTAAGAGTAAATTCCACAATTTCCTGCTAACTCCTACCCACCCCAGCTAGGTAAATATATCATTAAAATACTTAATTAAAAAAATTTAATCCCTGAAGATTAAAAATAAATAAATAAATTAACCCTCAGGGGTTAAAAAAAGTAATATAACCATAAAATACGGTGATCTGTATTTTGATCACTGCAGTCTGTGATCAATTGGCAGGGAAGGGGTTAATTTGAAAAAAGCATGGTAAAGGGGGAGGGTGGGATTTAAGTTTTTTTTTTTTAAACTTTTTTTTTACACAGGGAGAACATCAGTAGCACTGATCCGTCTCCCTGCACGTCACACTGAACACGGAAGCAGGGAGGCGGATCAGGAGTCTCTGCAGCACATGTGCACGCCCTGACAGGCTGTTGGAGCAGTCACAGCTGAGCACCGTTAACACTGCAATTGTGGCGATCTGGGGTTAACTTTAGTAAATTATGGAAATTTTTCATCATACGTCCTTAACGGTATGAAGGGGTACAATTAGTAGGTTTTGTTTAGCCAGAACCTGAACAATTGCCTCAGTCTCTAAGGGGCTAATTTTGTTTTTGTTCAGCCTCCCTACGTATCCTTTATTCCTAGAGGGTTTATTTTTTAATTCTCCTCCCTTTGCCCACTCCCTGAGTCTCTCTCTAAATTTCTCCCTCCTTCCATCTTCTAGTTGAGAAATTCGGTTCAATCAAATGCTTCTCTATGAGAAATTTGTATTGCACCACTGGAGGTCCAATAATGGATCTGGCATGGAAAACCACGCAAGGAACTTCGCCTGGAACTGGATTCCCCCCCCCTTTAACAGCTGAACGACAATATAATCACTAATGCCCAATAAGGTCACACAGTACAGAGTGCTTTGTAAACACCATTTGCTGTGTGATTGCGGAATGAGAGACAGATCTGACCCAAAAAACAAATGTGAGGGAGGCTGAACTTGATGGATGCATGTCTCTTTTCAGCTATGTAACGTTAAAGTCCACTCTGTAGGATATCATGACATTTATTTATAAAATCTTTTATGTCCTAATGTCCCTTATTTTAATAGATCTGGAGAAGTTAATTTAAAGTAAACATACTGTGCTGTAAGATCTGATTAAAAATTAAACCTGTTTTTTCAATGGAGACTGTGGGAGTCCCAGCCAGGAGGAGTTGTGGCTAGATCTGCATAAATCGATAAAATGGTGATTTAACTGCCTACATGGCAGAGAATATAGCTGTGAAACTACAGAGGCATTCCATGTATACCAAACCTGCTTAAAGGACCACTATAGTGCCAGGAAAACATACTTGTTTTCCTGGCACTATAGTGCCTTGAGGGTGCCCCACCCTCAGGGTCCCACTCCCGCCGGGCTGGATGGCAAGGAAAGGGGTTAAACTTACCTTTTTTCCAGCGCCGGGCGGGGAGCTCTCCTCCTCCTCTCCGCCTCTTCGGCTGAATGTGCATGCGCGGCAGGAGCTGCGCGCGCATTTAGCCAGCCTCATAGGAAAGCATTCATAATACTTTCCTATGGATGCTTGAGAAGCACGCAAACGCCTCTAGCGGCTGTCAATGAGACAGCCACTAGAGGCTTTAGAGGCTGGATTAACCCATTTATAAACATAGCAGTTTCTCTGAAACTATGTTTATTAAAAAAAAGGGTTAATCCTAGAGGGACCTGGCACCCAGACCACTTCATTAAGCTGAAGTGGTCTGGGTGCCTAGAGTGGTCCTTTAATTAAGCTAAAATTAATTTGTTGCTCAGATTTCCCCTTTTTATGGAAATTGTGAATGCACTCTAACTCATTTACCTGTGAATATCTTTGACCGATAAGTTGTGCTTCCAACGTATTTTTGTATTTTTTTTTTTTTTTTTATATTCTATCTCTCCAAAAATGATGAGAGCACTCAATGGTTTTGTGAAGTGAAATAAAATGTATTCACAATTGCAAATAAAATACCAACGTTTTGGCCGACAATGATGAGTTTAAAAAAAAAAGAAAAGAGCATTGGTGTGACAATGGATTGCCAAAGATGCTTGACTGTTCCCTTCTTCACACAATGCCAGGTTACATTTTCTCTAAAATATTTCCAAAAGTCTTTTCAGACAGATTGAAAGACCAAAGTGGAATCCTTTATGTGAGAGAAATTGGTCACTGTCTTGTTGCTAAACATTGTAGGTACCAATTAGTGAATAAGAGTGTCTTCTCTACCTGAAACTTGAAGGCTTGATCAATTGACTTTCTATTTTATGAATATATCCTGCAAGAGTAATATAGTTTGTCAGAATCTCTGTATGCATTCGTGGACTTTCTAGCCACAGCCAAGGCAATTGTAATGCATTTAAAATGTTCTTAACAATAAGGGAAAAGAAACGGAAAGAAGAAAAGGGTATTTAATATCAAGATGCTATTCCCTCCCTGAAAACTTCCCTCAAACCCTAAGATTAATCAATCACAACAGGCCTCAATATCTCCCGTTTAATTTCTATTTTTTGATGTTCGTGAAATATTGTAAATGTTTTTTTTTTTTCCATATATGAAATATATTGAAAATTTAAAATGGAAATTTTTTTATGGAAATATTTTTTGATAAAAAATATTTCCTAACAAGTGAGAGGACTGTTCCAGAAAAGACCATCTTAGTGGATTTAACCCCTTAAGGACACAACTTTTGGAATAAAAGGGAATCATGATGGAATATTTCTGTCATGTGTCCTTAAGAGGTTAAGGACTGAGGCAGTTATACAAGTTCAGATCAAAACAATATTTGCTTGTGTGTGAAAAAATGCAAAAAATGCAAGCCTTGTATTTGACTCTGATTTTTTTTAAACATCATAAAACCTGTACAAATCGGGTACTGTTATACTCAAGAGACTTAGCTGAACAGAAATATTAGTGTTTCAAAACAGTAAAACGTATCACGATATCGTCAGTGAAAGTGCCCTTCGTGTGTGAAAAATGCAAAAAAATGGCACTTTCACTCACAATATCATCTTGGTGATATGTTTTACTGTTTTGAAATACTAATATTTGTTTTCAACGAAGTCTCCTGAGTAAAATTGTACCCCCACTGTCCCCCAATGTACAGGTGTTATGGTGTCTTGGAAAGTTACAGGGTTAAAGCGGCACTGTCATGCCAAACTTGCCTTTCCTCAACCGCTTCCTCTTCTCTCCCTCTCTCAGGATCTGTTCTCCTTTTCTTCCTATCTGCTCTAGTTTTCTTTAAAACATAAGTAGGGACTATTTTTTTTTTCTCATGTATTTTTACTACGCTTGCCCAGCTTTGACCCAGGGGAGGAGCAAAGTCCGCTCCATTTCCTGTAGTCAAAGCAATTTTCCCACAATACTCACCTCTTCCCCCTGTGTTCTCGTGCTGTTTCATTCGGCATTAGAATGCTGGCGAAACTACCGAATTTCATCCTAACAGAATGAGAAGAGTTTGTCCATTCGTGTTAGGACGCAGTTCGGGACTTTTTGTTCGAATTGGAATTTCATTTGAATGAATTAAACTCCGATCCTATTTGTGCCGCGAGTGTGTGTGTGTGTGTGTGTATATATATATATATATATATATATATATATCTATCCCCCGCGCAGTCACCAGTAATTGGCTTTACCTATGGATGATCTTGCAGGATCATCCATAGACCTCAATGCTGTACTCTAAAGGAGCTGCTGGAAAAAAGATGGGTAACAAGGGACAGGTTCAGATATGTAAAACTCACTTTTAGCTCCCAGCCACCAGATCCCTAGTGGCAATGTCACCGTACAAATTCTACAAATTATTATAATTGAAGTAAGAATTGTGTTTCACAATTTTAGATTGATGCTTTCATGTTGGAAAACTACAAATCATAATCACTATCTACTGGAGGCTCCACTACAAACAAGTGAAAGATACCATGATGATGAACAAAGATAAAAATGAGATGTCAGAGAGGATCTTGAATCTAACTCTGGAGATCATTTACCTGCTGACTGGAGAGGTGAGGACCCTGATTGTCACTATGTCATAGTAACTGGTATAATCATCACTGAGATTGTACTGGTTTCTAAATTCACTTCAGTAGAGACAGGTATAATCTTTTTTTTTTTTTTTCATTTATTTTATTTTAATTCAACACATATAAAAAATAATTTTCATCTACAGTGAAAGTCACCATTTTCTTCATAATACATATCATATAGAAATATTTATATTACACAATTCTCAATAATCCAACTCATTTCACTTTGAAAGAGAAATGTTATCACAGAGATTGAACCTATGTAACATAATAACATCAACTGCCAAGTGAGCTGAAACTCTACTTAACAGATCACCACCCTCTTATATCCAGGTGCAATATGCAAAATTCTGTGTAGTCAACCCTGTATCTTACTTAAACCTGAAACATTTCTGTATTGACTAACTTGGCATCATATACCATTACTACTACACAAGACATAACTCACATTGCATTGCATAATCTCCTTTAGGTAATTTCAGTGGACCCTCTATTATATTACTTCCCAGTGTAATAAACCAAGAGAAATAATCTAAACTCTCCATCCAGGGATTTATGTATCTAAACTCTCCATTCTTTTTCTCCAGAAATTACTGATCTCTCTGATTTTGTTTGACTAGTATCATAAGGCCTCCATAATTAATTGATACTGAACTTGTGAATACAGTTGGGCCTGTGTAAAATTATCGCTGCTCTTCGAACTCCTAGCTATTATTATTTTTACTGCCGCCACAAAGTGGACATATATGAATCTATCTTTAAAATGAAGTGATTGTAGATTTCGATGGAACAAGCCATTATAAGGACCTATATGGATACTTCTCTCTGTTATGTATTCCAGTGCCTCAAAGGCCATATACCACAACCTTTTCACCTTACCACATTCCCACCAGATATGGCCAAAAGTCCCTTCCGTCTCACTACATCTCCAACAGGTTGGAGAATTGGAGGTATACATTTTAGTCAATCTGGTGGGGTCCAAATACCAGCGATTCATCAATTTAAACAGTACCTCCAGAATACTCAGACAGTGGATAGCTTTACTAGTTTGTGTTAACACTTGATCCCATTCTGTCTTAAAAATCTGTGTGTTTAGCTCTTTTTCCCACTTCTGCATATGCATTCGTAATTGGTGCTTCAATCTGAAGAAGAGCACTTCTTGCTTTTGAGGCTATTTGAGACACTTTCTCATTGTTTAATAGAGCAGTTAATTTTTCTAAACCCGCTATAGGTCGAACTAACAGAAATTGTTTGATGAAACCTCTGATCCTTAGGTAATTATACCACTCCTTCCTTGGTAGCCAAAATTCTTGTATCAGCCTCTCAAACGGCTTGATCTTATCTCCTAGTATTATTTGTTTAATATGATTTATGCCTTTCCTTGTCCAGTCATTCGTATTTATATCCTTCATCCGTACCTGTATAACACTAAAATTGAAATTTCCCAGTATTTTATTGCCAATTCCGCTGCTAATCTTCAACCTTTCCTATTCCAACAAGATTGATTTCAAACAATTATTTAAAGAACAGACTTTCTTAATTCTCTCGTCTCGATTAGTCATTAATATCAATTGATGCAATTTATCCGTTTCGGACATCTCCGTTTCTAATTGATACCAACCCTCTTCCTCAGAGCTTGGGAGTTGCGTCTTATAGATATGGAACATCATATTAGCTAAATAGGTAAGGTTCACATTTGGAAAATTTATACCTCCATTCCTACTCTTCTGCATCAGAAGTTTTTTATTCATTCTTGGCCTTTTTCCTTTCCATATGAAATTAATGATATCTCGTGGTATCATAGCTAACCATGGTTGGGGCATTCTTAAAGGGATCATGCGAAAGAGGTAGGACCATTTGGGGAGTAAAGATGAATTGATCAAGTTAATTCTTCCCCACCAAGATAATTCAACCTGTCGCCATTTTTTAAAGACTCGTGGGTTAATCTATATATATTTAGATAGTTAATTTGCATCGTGTAACGGCACCCCTTGGCATAAAAGGGTTCAACCGCCGTTTAGTAGATCTTCCCTTCCAGAGACACAGGCACAGCTACTGCAGAACACCAATCCGCCGAACAGGAAACCATATGAATGCTGTAAACAGCCGAATAGGAAAAAACATACGAATAGGTTTACACTCCTAGCAGTCGAACTGGAACAGCATACAATAAATCCCCCCAAGAATGAGACAGAGCTCCGTGTTGAGGGTCAAGCAGTGAACAGTCAGAGCTGTGGGTTTATTGTGCTTATGTACACATTCTTACACATTAGTACCACCCACAGGGTTTTGGAACACATACAATACACTCAGACACTCCCACACAAAATCCTCCCCTCTGCCTGTAATACAATTACCTTACACAATGGGTAATGTAATTATAACAAGCAGAGAAATACAATTTTTCCACATTATTCATAACTTGAAAAGTATGCATCACATTCACATAAAACTTACATTTTCAGAATCAGCATACTCCAAATACAAACATATGTATTTTGTTGGTAATCTTAAAAAGATTTCCTATTTACCAACCGTTATTTCTTGTTTGAGAGAGAAAAAAAAAACACTGTCCTCTTCCGTCCACCCTCCTTCAAAACATCTTCTATCATTCTATTGTTACGCTGCTCCAAACATTTGTTTTTCTTCCATCCACTTTCTCAGAGAGTCCGAAGTTATACATTTTTCCGTCTTCTCTTGCCAGAAGATCCTATGGCAGTTGGGAAATCCCCATGTGTATTTCACTTCTCTTGCTCTTAAAGTGGACAACTCCTGGCTAAAACCTCTTCGCCATGTTCTTGTTTGAAATGATAAATCTGAGAATATCAGTAAGTCCTTAAACCTCTCTTCTAGTGCAGGTTTGTTTTTTTTAATGACCCCATTATCTTGTTTTTGAGGTAGAATGATTGAAATTTGACTATTACACCTCTTGGTGAGGATTCTGCTATATTTTGAGGTCTAGGGAGTCTTTGGAATCTATCTATTTCAGAATCTTTTAATCCAGTTTCAGCTAGTAGCAACTCAAAGTAATCCATTAGAATTTTTTTCAGCATTATGTCATTAACGGTTTCAGGGATTCTGATATTGGATCTCCTAGAGCGATCTTCTGAATCCTTTAGTTTACCCTCTAGTTGTTCCACTTTCAGCTGCAAGTCTGTCATAGTTGTCTGTATTTGATCATATTTTAATTCAGTTTGCATCATCTTGGATTCTATGGATCCTAATTTTTCTAGCATACTTCTTAGTTCCTGCTTTAAATCTGACGACCCTTTCGGAATATCTTCTTTAATATTCTTCAAAAGTTTATCTAAATAATTTATTAGGATCTCTTCAGTTAGAGATTTACCTGCTTGTTCGTCTAGAGGGGGAATTGGAGTTAAATTTAGAAGGGCATGAGGTACCCAGAGTTTCCAAAATCGAGATTTATTTTGAGAAGGGGAGAAATATCCTGACAATCTTTTCTCTGGAATGGAATCTTTTTTTTTCTTCTTTTTTTCTCTTATCTTCCTGTGTTGTTTTTTTTTTGGATGCCATTCTGTCGATTTTTTTTATTTTTTTTATTTTTCTTTGCAATATTATTATTGCTTCAAATACTACATTTCAAAGCCCACGGGAACAAGGAGAAATTTATAATTAATACTGCGTGTTTGAAAACCATTCAATATGGAGACTTGCAGCTATTTACAATTTGATATCTCGTTAACCCGTTTAACCAAGAATGTGGGTTTTGTAAATTTATTTGCCAGAAATTTAGCAAGATATAAATGCATTCAGAGAAATCCAGATTCTATATTTTGCTTAAATTATTGCGCATTTTTAACCTTTATATATCTCTTTTTATTTATTTTTCTTTCCTTATTCCTCCCCCCCTTTCCTTCCTCTTTTTTTCCAATCAACATATAGAAAGTGCACTTATCTTTTACTGTGTCTTGCTGTTATTAGTGTTTCGCCACTCCTCTCTTATCCTCCTCTCCGAATTCTCGTAATCCTCCTCTGTTCCGACCTCTAACATCCACTGATAGCCTGAAGTGTTTAGTCGCTGGTATTCCACAGCCGGCGTCGGCGTCTCCTCAAGCAGCGTGGATCTTCGCCGGCCACCCTTCCACCATATCGCCCCTCCTCTCACGCAAATGTTCGAGCGCGCCTACGTCATGACGCTTCCCCCCCGACAGGTATAATCTTAATAAAGAACATACCTTGCAAACCATGAGACCAGTAACATGCATTTATCACACAGAATGGTGGAAATATTTGGTTATATTTAGTGTTTTAACCACTTTGAGATGTCCAACCTTTGTGAGTGAATGAGGCAGCAAGGTAAGGATGGCACCATTGCAGCATCACTGGGTTTCTACATCCTTTATTGGGGCATAGGATTAGTAGGCTAGTTTCTTATCGATTATGGGGTCCCTGGGATGTTCTTCAGCTGTAAAAGAGATAACTCTAAGCTACATGAAGGGTAAAGAACAGTCACTCTGCAACTTTTAATTTTATTTCAACCTAGTTTTTTTACATGTGTGTATAAAAATGTGTGTGTGTGTGTGTGTATATGTGTGTGTGTGTGTGTGTGTATATGTGTGTATATATATATATATATATATATATATATATATATATATATATATATATATATAAAATCTATCGCAGTGATGATGTGACCAATCAGAACACAGGTAAACCTATTTAAAGCTTGCTCTGGCCCCTATTCTTTGCCCTATTGTGGTTTCTTGTTAGATCCTTGTTTAGTGCTCCTAGAGATTCCCTTGTGATTTCCTGTATTTGATCTGTGATTTCTGTTATCTGTTCTCCAGTCAAAGGGATATCATGTGCAAAGCGAAACCAGCAAAGTGGCTGAAAGCCCTATAAGCAGGGCCTGGCATTAAGTGTATAAGTGAAACCATACCATAATCTTTAATCAGGGATAATAAAGCCAGTAGTGTTTTAGCTGGGTGAGTAACCTAGAGTAAGATATCATTTGCACAGGTGCTAACTTTTTTTATTTGGGACTCTCCCACTCTCCCATCTGAATTCCATGAATTGAGGTGCAGTAAAGGCTCTAACGCCAGGACATAGAGGAACGGGGAAAGAGGACTGCCCTGTCTCGTACCATTAGTAATTTGGAACGGTGTTGATAGGAAGTCTCCTTGAAGAACTTGCGCTGAGGGGGAAGCATATAGAGCAAAGATTTGCCGTATTGTTTGGGGAGGGCATGTTTTTTATCTGAACTTGTCCCAGGAAGGCCCAACCGAGACGGTCAAATGCATTTTCTGAATCTAGTGCTAAAAGGAGACAGCATCGGTCAGACCTCCTCAACTATGTGAGAAGTAGGGACAGTTTGCGGGTGTTGTCAACACCCTGCCTTCCCAGAACAAAGCCAGTCTGTCATCATGAACTAGGCTCGGTATTATTGTACTCAGCCTGTTCGCTAGGATCTTGGCATAAATCTTCGCATCCGTATTCAGAAGCGAAATGGAGCGGTAGTTCTTACATATTTCCGAGGATATGTCTGGTTGCTCTATTGTACACCTCTAGCAAGTGGGGTGCAAGTGTTTTGGCAAAGTTTTTGTAGTACGAATTAGGAAGCCCATCAGCTCCAGGGAATTTGCCTGTGGGTAGCCTTTTGATAGTGTCTATTATTTACTCTGTAGTGATGGGATGTAGAAAGGTCTCCTTATGTCTCTAGTCAATCTGAGGTAGTTTAAGGGGCTGGAGGAAGGTTATGACCTCCTTATCTGTTGGTGTGTGAACAGTCTGGTCTGTGTGCAGGTTATATAACACAGAGTAGAATGTAGCAAATTCCTTGGTGATGGCCTGTGGTCCCATGTGTTTAGTACCATCCCATCCCACTATGTGTGCTACTCTAGTTATAGCAGGTTCTGTTCACCAAGGCTCTCTTGACTTTCCCTGTATTATTATTATCGCCATTTATATAGCGCCAACAGAATCTGTAGCGCTTTACAATATTATGAGAGGGGGGATTTAACTATAAATAGGACAATTACAGGAAAACTTACAGGAATGATAGGTTGAAGAGGACCCTGCTCAAACGAGCTTTCAGTCTATAGGAGGGGGGGTATAAAACACATTAGGACAGGAAATGGCAATCACATTGTTACTTTACTGAAAAGATTGAACAGCTAAGATTCTCCCTACCTTGCCATTCTCTTTCTAAACCACACGTACATCATGCCTTTCCTACCCTTCATACTTTCTCTCCGGCTACTGAACAAGAGGTGGCTGCGCTTCTCCTTTCCTCTCGTCCCACCACTTGCTTGCCTGATCCTGTCCCATCTCACCTTATCAGATCTCTCTCCACTTGTCTTGTGCCTTTCTTAACGTACATCTTCAACTGTTCTCTCTCTTCTGGCATTGTCCCTGCTGACTTTAAACATGCCACTGTAGTACCTATCCTGAAAAAAAAATCTCTTGACTCGTCCTCCCCCACTATCGTCCTATATCCCTGCTTCCTTTTTCTTCAAAGCTTCTGGAAAGACTTGTCACTTTCTCATTGACTCTCTTCAATCTGGCTTCCGCTTTCTCCACTCTACTGAGACTGAGCTTGTCAAAGTTACTAACGACCCGATCGCAGCTAAATCCAAAGGCCACTTCTCAATACTAATTCTTCTTGACCTCTCTGCTGCCTTTGACACCGTTTATCATGCTCTCCTTCTTCAAAATCTTCAATCACTCGGTCTCTGTGACTCTGTCCTCTCGTGGTTTTCCTCTTCCCTCCCAACGCTCATTCAGTGTCTCCTTTTCTAATGATACATCCTCCCCTCGTCCTGTCTCAGTTGGAGTCTCCCAAGGCTCTGCCCTTGGTCCCCTTCTATTATCTCTTTATGCTGTCTCTCTTGGCAAACGTATTACCTCTTTTGGATTCCACTACCACCTGTACGCTGATGACACCCAGATATATCTCTCCTGCCGTCCTACAACATGCCACTGCTTGCCTTTCTTCCATCTCTGACTGGATGTCCTCCCGCTTTCAGAAACTCAATCTCTCTAAAACTGAGCTCCTTGTCTTTCCTCCTCCTAATACTGATCCTCTTCTCTCACTCTCTCTTCAAGTTAGTGGCATCCACATAAGTACATCCTTGCAAGCATGCCGTTTGGCATCATACTTGATTCTGGCCTCACCTTTGAGCCTCACATCCAGTATGTTGCCAAATCCTGTAGATTAAATCTTAAAAACATAGCCCGCTTCCGCCCCTTTCTTAAGCAAGATGCTACCAAGGAGCATAGTAATGCTCTAGTAATTTCCCACATGGATTATTGTAACCCTCTCCTGGTCTTCCCAAAAGCCGTATTGCACCGCTACAGTCTGTAATAAATGCTGCCGCCAGACTGATTTTCCTCTCTAGTCAGTTTTCACACACCTCACCCCTCTGTCAGTTCTTCCATTGGCTTCCTGAATCAATTCAAGGTACTAATTCACACCTATAAAGCACTGAACAATTTTAACCAAAGGTTTGTCCCTTCTTGGTCTCTCCGCTCTGCCCGTGACCTTCTCCTGTCCGTTGTGATCAGAGAGGTTGTGATCAGAGAGAGGAAATGGAGTGTTGCAGATATTAGATACTGTACATGCATAAGAGGAAATGAGGTTGAGGGTATTGCCAGCTACATAGGTTCGAGAATTAACCCACTGCGATAACCCGAGGGAAGAAGTAATTGAAAGTAGTTTATAGGCTGCTGAGTTCAAATGGGGGTTAATGGGAATATTGAAGTCCCTGAGAATTAGGGATGGAATATTAGAAGAGTGGAAGTAGAGTAACCATGCAGAAAAGTGGTTAAGGAAGAGTAGAGGGGAACCGGGGGGGAAGGAGGAAGAGGGGGGGGTGTTAATTGGGATAATGAGGCAGGAGTAGCAGTATCAGAGGGAGAGAGCCATGTTTCCGTTCATGCAAGTAGGTTTAGGGAGTGTGAGATAAATCGGTCATGGATGGAAGTTGATCTAATGGTGCGGTAGCTGAGTCTATGTAGGTAGTAATTGGTGTTAACCGAATTAAGTTCAAGTAGATCATTTTGTAGGGTGTTGAGTTTCAATAATAAGTCCGGTGAGGGCTGAATTTTGTTTCGCGAGGAGACGGAAGCTAGCTGTCTATAGCACTCCATGAATGCAGAGTGGTGTTTTCCCTTTTTTTTTTTTTTTTTTTTTAAATGAGGCCTGTCTAAATAAACAAGCCCATGACTTCTGCCTTGTGGACTAACTATACCGTCTCTGGCGAGACTTCGCCCTGGGCGTTGGTTTGGAAATAATTTGTCAACTCCCGGCCGATGTTTTATACAAAGGTCTCATCTGCAAGCAATGACTCATTGAGCCACCAACTGCCCCTACCTTTGTATTGAAAGGTGTCTTGGAGATCTAGAAACACTATTATGTTTCCTATACTACATTCTGACAATTAAGCAAGAGAATGGTTATCTAGAAAGAACGTGTCTATTCTAGTGTAGGTATTATGCATCCAGGAATGGAATGTAAAGTCTCTTTCTGACGGATGGAGGATTCGCCAAGCGTCAAAGCAGTTTATCTAGTCATTAGCAGAGAGAAATCAATTGCCTTTTTCTACATTTTGTGGGGGTGGCTGAGAAATCTGTCGAGGGGGATTAGATAAATTTAAAGTCCACGCAGAAAATTACGCCCCCCTGTTTGACCTCATCTATTTTGCATAGAGAGAGACTATAGGTAGTTGCATGAGTTGGTGTTCGGAAAATACGCCGAGATCAGTGTATAAGGAACAGAAGTTATTAATTTTTTTTTTTTCATATATTTCTTCTTTCTGACTATTAATGACCAAAAAATACAAAAAGTCATAGAAAAAATTGACCGTACAAAACATTCTCATGCTGAACAGTCAATATAAAAACACTCCACCATTCCGTAAGATCACACATTCCCAATATGTTACTTTCCTTTTTACTGAGAGAGAGGAACATATAAAACTACATACATTTCTGGCATGGCAGCTTCTAGAGAAATTAAATATCATCACATCTTATTCTAGGGTATTTATTTATCATGCTCACTCAGGGATACTTTTTATCCAGAGGTCCCATTTATAATTCCTCTTCAGAGTAAAATTTTATTGAAATTTAATTGTTCTCTTCATTGTTATACTGTCTTAACTGTTGAATACATTTAATTCCCACGTGTTTCAGGTGCCTTAAACTATCTATACATAGATTGTACTGGGTGGGCTGCCTACCGCTAATTCTCTCACCCTCTGGGTTTGACGGGTGGCTTGGGACCTATTGGCGGCCCCCCTGATTGGAATTTGCAGTCACCCCCCCCCCCCAAAAAACTCTCGTCCATTAATGCAAGAGGCATCAATACGCCTAAGAAAAGGTCTCTAGCTCTAAGAGACTTTAAGTCCCACAAAGCCCATATAGTCTACATCCAGGAAACACATTTTCTGGGGGTTAGTGCCCCGAAACTGACCAATCACTTATATCCACAGGGCTATTATGGTAATAACTTGGAAAGGAACCGCAATCCTCATTCATAAATCGATCCCATTCCAACACAAAGACACCCTCATAGGCAGATACATATTTATTAAGGGGACAATCTTAGGTCAGATGTATACCCTGGCCAACATTTATGCTCCTAATTCCTCCCAAGGCAAGTTTCCAAAGGCTACACTCCGCTCACTAGTACCATTCATAGGGGGCCTTCTAGTTCTCGGGGGGGTGGGAGGGACTTTAACATCACTTTAAACCCTAAGGTTGATACTTCCGTGGGAACCTCCACTATCCCAGACCATGTTTTACAGCTGCTCAAAAACCTTCTCCATTCCCACCAACTGTTTGACTGCTGGAGGGCTCTACACCCCGAAGGCAGGGACTACACTCATTATTCCATCCCACATGTCAGATACTCCAGACTGGACTACTTTTTTTATTCCACACTACTAACTTCACTTAGTACAACACATAGACATAGGCGTGACGACTTGCCCCACTGACCATGATCTTAGCCACCCCTCTGCCGACCTCGCACCGTAAACTGGAGACTCAATGAAACACTTCTATCTGACCCACTTGTCCTACAGGATGCCATCAAGACAATGAGACCGCTGATACGTCGGCTCCAATGGTCTGGGAGACGCATAAATGCGTGATCAGAGGTTATTTTATAGCCAAAGGGGCTGCTTTGAAGAGGACTAGGGAAAAGAAAATTAACGATCTTATTAACGACATTCACATAATAGAGACGACTCCTAAAGCTGACCAAACTCTGACCAGCTTCCAGGAACTAGCCGCATCGCGAGGCAAGCTAGCTACCCTCCTGCATGGCCGCTATCAACGACAACTTCAGTGCTTGAAAACATACTTTTATGTTAACGGTGACAAATGCGTTAGATTGCTGGTTCGACTCATTAATAAGAAGAACAGATTTTATATAGCGATCATCAAGGCTTGACCCAACGGCTGCCAGACAAGATCGCTACAATTGCGCGCTCGTACTATGAGAGCCTATACTCCCGAGAGCCGCCAGCTGGGTGCGGCCCACAGCTATCTCAACGCACGTCCGTGCGAGAATACCTGGAAGCTAACTTCCACTCGAAATTAACAGTGGAAGTGATAGAAGCCCTAGAAACACCTCTGACTATTGAAGAATTGGCGGAGGTGGTTAAATCCACAAACACGGATAAAAGCCTGGGCCCAGACGGACTCACGCTGCGCTACTATAAGCAATTCGCGGGCGTCCTGTACCCGCACTTCCTGAAAGCCTATAACTCGCTCAGGTAGGGACAGAGACTGCCCACCCAAACCTCACCCTGATCCCCAAAGAGGGCAAGGACCTTGAGCAGTGTGCTAATTACAGACCCATATCACTCCTAAGCAATCACTTGAAGCTGTTTACAAAGATACTAGCAACCAGAGTGAAACCATACGTGCCTAACCTAGTACAGGAGGATCAGGTGGGTTTTGTACCCTACTAAGAAGCCAGAAATAACACGACACAGGCGCTAGCATTGATTCATCAGGCCCAGAGGAACAACGGGGGCCTCCTACTGCTCTCCACAGATGCTGAAAAGGAGTTTGATAGAGTAGATTGGGGCTTCCTTATGCAGACCCTGCAAGCCATCGTAATGGGACCGAACATGCATCACTGGATTACAGTGCTATATGATAACCCCACGGCAAGAGTGTGCATTAATGGCGCCTACACGGAACCTTTCCAAATGCGGTGTGGAACTAGACCGGATTGTCCACTATCGCCGCTGCTCTTTGTCCTTGCCCTCGAACCATTCCTCCATGTGGTGAGGCAGAATCCAGATGTTAGGGGACTACATGTGGGAAACAAAATGCATAAAGTGGCAGCCTACGCTGACGACCTGTTGTTCTTTGTGACCACACCTGAAACATCACTTCCCAATCTCATGAAGGAATTTGACAGATACGGTGCTCTCTCTAACTTTAAAATAAACTACTCAAAATCAACAATACTGAACATCACAGTACCAAAACTGAGAACTGACGTGCTCCGCTTGAGCTTCCGGTTCCAATGGTCTGATGGAGCACTCAAGTACCTAAGGGTGTGGAGATGAATATCTTTTCCAAGAATTCTCTACTTGTTCCAAACGCTGCCTATCAAAATCCCACAAGCGTTCTGCACTTTGTTACGGTCGTTGGTGATCAATTACATTTGGAGTCCTCACAGACCCAGGATAAGCTACCAGACACTCTCCAGATCAAAGGCAAAGGGTGCACTGGCTGTCTCCGATTTCCTACTATACTACCGCATCTCCCACATGCAGAGAATACTGGAGTGGGCTAAAGACGGGATAGACAAATTATGGAAGGGAGTAGAACAGGCCCAGACAGGTGGATCATTAACTGCCTTGACTTGGATGAAACCGGAGGAAAGCAGGAAACTTCTGAAACAACAAGCATGTGTAAAGGCCACCCTAGACATATGGCACAATATCGCACCAAAACTGGGCCTCTCATCTTTCCCATCACCCATATACCCCCTGACGAATAACCCTGAATTCCCCCCTGGGACAGAGAACAGAGCATTCGCTTGCTTCTTTGCTTTCAAACAGGTTCTGATTAGGCACATGACAGTAGCCAACACACTCAGGCACCTCCCCGACCTCTTACAAGGTACCCCAGGCACGTTCCTACATAGCCTGAAAAATGAACAACTGAGACAGCTCATACGCCAAATACCTCAACAACCAAATTTCTTCAGAGCTTTAACCCCATTTTAACGAATGTGTGTCAACCCAGACTCGCAACCTCACGCAATCTCCATCCTCTATCCCCTCCTACAACAAAACTTAAATCTCCCAGCACAAGCATACATGGGGAAATGGCAATTGGGGGGTCTTTCACACCACAACAGTGGGGGAAGATATGTGATCTAGTACAGCATTGCGCCTTAGCAAGTAAGACCCAAGAAACCGCATTTAAATGTGGTATCGAACCCCGCAGGTCCTCCAGAAAATAAACCTGTCACTAGATGGGAATTGCTGGCGCTGCCATACGACCACTGGTTTGGTCCTCCACATATGGTGGGAATGCCCAAAAGTCAAACCTTTTTGGAAAGAGATTGACGCAGTCCTACGAAGGTTCTCTGAACTCATCCCCCCCCCTTTCGTTCGGTCCCATTTCTCTTACACCACACCAACATGCCGACCGCCAAATATAAGAAATCCCTGACAATTTGGATCTTAAATACGGCCAAACAAGTCATCCCCTTACACTGGAAACAAGACCTCATACCGCCCCTCATGGTCTGGTTTGACAAGATGGAGGACTTGAGGAAACTGGAAGAACTGATTTACTCAACACAAGACCGCTTTCAATTTTATGTAGGCACCTGGACACACTGGCTGACAACTGCTTATAACACTGACTTTCAAAAGCTACTGACCTATGAGACACAAGGAGAGTAGTTGACATGGGGGAACAGGAAAGGGGGCTGCTACAATGAGGGGTCCTGGGCCGCCAAACGAGAACTCAAGAGTTGCCCTAACGGAACAAAGATACAGTGCTCTTCACACACTCTGACCTCTGTCTTCCCGTCCCTCAAGCTGATGATTCCTCCCCCGAGAGGGTATTACTGATGACCATGAAATGAACCTCAAATCCCTCTCAGGCAGGTCCAAGGGGGACATGACAACGTGTCCATACCAACTCAGGAGGGACTCACGCAGGGACAGGGAATATGGCAACACGCTTGAAATGTTTACACTCACCACTGACCAGTACAATCCCACACCTGAAACATAGAAGGGGGACATTGGGTTTTACATAGTACTATAATATACCAGACTATTTTAACTTGCTAACTATGGACCTGCGCGTCCTGACCGGCTGATAACGTTGGTCCTGCGAGACCTATAAACAGTTGCTGATGCGGAGCTGCGTGTCCACGAATGTTGTTCAAAATATTTGCATGTCTGATAAATAAAATCTTATTTGAAAAAAAAACAAAAAAAACTTAAAAGGCAGTTAAATAACCCTAGGTGATGCAAAAAGCCAATGGGGCCCGTAAGACCCCCATATTACTATAATGACATTTTTAAATCTCCCTATGCCCTTATATGCCATGTGGCAGGTAAGGGAATATCTGCTAACTGTTTAAAACCAGTAACTAAGCAGCCATTGCTGCCCATCACTAGAAATGTCCCATTCCATAGGGATGTGGGCCTTTGAAAATACAATGGATGGGGAAGCATGGGCATCAGGCAGTGGAGTTTACAATAAGAAATCACAGGCCACAGGTGGTGACTCTTTGATAACATTTAAAAAAAGCGGCATCTCTCATGCAGTACCACAAGCAGCCCCACACATGCACATACATCACCATACACACAATGTGACACATGCACTCAAATACAAAACTGCAAAGCAACAGCACCACCCATAAATAACACAAGATGAATATGGAAACATACACACCTCAATTTAGAAAAATAGGACTGGCACGCCATTTCAAACATTCTTGAACCATGGTTGGCTACATGCCTATCGCTCTGTGTGGTTCCCACTGTGTCTTCCACCAGGTCCCCACAGAGTTTTTACTTGTAGGTCCCTCCTTTATGTAGTAGCTTGAACTGTATAAATGTCCTGTTTGATGTTATTAAATAAGGCTGCTAAGTTAGAATTTATGAGCAGGTATGATGACGTAAGTCCGTATGCTACGCTCCCACGCTGAGAGCAACACCAAAACACTGCAGAGTGATCTGCCTCGTGAAACTGATGCCTAAAGGGAGGTGAGACGCGGTGAATCAAATGCTCACAATCCACAAGGAGAAAGCTGAGAACTGCGCCGAAAGGCAAACAAACCCTGCTGCACAGAACTTGAAGATCCAGGTAATAGAACTCCGATGCTTGTAAAGAGCTCTGGCAACAAGATAAAAGATCCCGGGGGGTGCTGTGTGGACAGGAGAGAATCTTTAAAGCAGCATGAAGGGAAACCCATTAAACTCCAGGCGCTCCCATAAAGTATTACAAAAGGTACATTATATACTCGTGTATAAGTAGAGTGCAGTTTTTTTGACCAACAATTGTGAAATATGCTATAAGTTGAGGGTAAAACTTGGGGCTATGAAATTCTGTGATTTTTATAATGTCAGGTTTTTACCTTTCCCTGTCTCTCTCTCTCTCCCACACATCTCTCTCTCCCACCTTTCCCTGTCTCTCTCTCTCTCTCCCTCCCCTGTGTTCTCCCTATTTCTCCCTCTCCCCCTCCCCTGTGTTCTCCCTATTTCTCCCCCTGTGTGTCTCTTTCCCTCTGCCTTTCTCCTCCTCCCCTTGTGTCTCTTTTGCCCCTCTGTCTCTTTCTCTCTCTTGCCCCATCTCTCTCCCCCCCTTCCCCTTGTGTTTATTTCTCCCCTTCACCACCCCCTGAAATTGACCTTGTCTGACAGTCTGTCCGATACCACAGGAGGACTGAGGGAGGGGGCAGAGTTGACTATCATGCTCCCACAATTTCCAGCACAGCCAAATCATAGAGTAGTGATTACTGTATGATGTGGCTGTGCTGGGAATTGTGGGAACCGCGAGGGAGCATGATAGTCAGCTCTGCCCCCTCCCTCATTCCTCCTGTGGTATTGGACAGCTGCATGGCTATCGGTATTGGTGAGTGTGCCGCTAGGCGGCCACCCGACCCGGCGGCACCACCATGATGCATTACAGGAGTAGCGGCCACTGGCCGTAAGGTAACTATGGAATGCGGCCAGCCCCATCAGTGTGCCACCGAACCGGCCACTCCGGCGGCACCTATATGTTCATGCGTTGCCGCGATGTTACCTTTCCCTGACACATCTCTCTCTCCCACCTTTCCCTGTCTGTGTTCTCCCTATTTCTCCCTCTCCCCCTCCCCTGTGTTCTCCCTATTTCTCCCCCTGTGTGTCTCTTTCCCTCTGCCTTTCTCCTCCTCCCCTTGTGTCTCTTTTGCCCCTCTGTCTCTTTCTCTCTCTTGCCCCATCTCTCTCCCCCCCTTCCCCTTGTGTTTATTTCTCCCCTTCACCACCCCCTGAAATTGACCTTGTCTGACAGTCTGTCCGATACCACAGGAGGACTGAGGGAGGGGGCAGAGTTGACTATCATGCTCCCACAATTTCCAGCACAGCCAAATCATAGAGTAGTGATTACTGTATGATGTGGCTGTGCTGGGAATTGTGGGAACCGCGAGGGAGCATGATAGTCAGCTCTGCCCCCTCCCTCATTCCTCCTGTGGTATTGGACAGCTGCATGGCTATCGGTATTGGTGAGTGTGCCGCTAGGCGGCCACCCGACCCGGCGGCACCACCATGATGCATTACAGGAGTAGCGGCCACTGGCCGTAAGGTAACTATGGAATGCGGCCAGCCCCATCAGTGTGCCACCGAACCGGCCACCCGGCGGCACCTAATGTTCATGCGGCCGCGATGTTACTGAAGCTGGCCACAGGGACTACTCTGATACTTCCCTCGTATAAAGAGGGACTCTGTAGGATGGAAGAATGAGAGTACTGCGCGGCCCACTGGGAATTCATGAAAATTTACAACTAAAACTCCTCAAGTTATACACGGGTATATTTGGGGAAAAATATGATGGAGATAAAAATATATTAAAAAGCAAACAAAAAGAAATAGACATTGGCAAAAAGACTAAACTTGAATACAAGATAAAAAAAAAGAAATGAAAAGAGAGAGAGAGAGAAAAAGGGCGGCGGGAGGAAGAGAAAGGGAAGGTAATTTAAAGAAACCAATATGGCAACTTAAGAAACAGAGCAGAGGAGCCAGACAAAGAAAGAGAAAGGAACCCCTCCCTCCCACGCCCACCCAAAAATCAACAGGAAAGGAGAGTATCCAGTAACTTTTTCTTACTTCAAGACTTCAAGATAAAACATTAGAAGACCCATTTTACAAAAATCGTGGGATATAGAACAACAATCATACACCTGACCTATTAAATCCTGCTTAGGTTCTTTGTTTCAACAAATAAAGGTTAATTTTCAACAAAGGTTTAAAAAAAAAAAAAAAAAACACTTTGTAAATGAAAGAAGAAATTACATTATTAACAAAATATTGAAAATAAAATGGAGAACTCGGAGATGCGTTTAGAGATCTAAGAAAAGGAAAAACAGCATCTAAATCAAATTAATATCTAGAACCTAAATCCTGACGATGCAGTCTACGTATAAGAAATGTCCCAGAGGAAGTCACACAAGACAAGCTATTAGGATTCCTAGAAGATAACATCAAGGAATTGGGTCTCCGATTCGAAAAAGAAACAAAACTCTTTGAGAGATTCCATAGGATAGAAAAAACAATGGAAATAGGAAAAGATATGCCAAGAGACATAATTGTATGCTGCCTTTCTTTTTAATGAGAAAGCAACCTTAGCACCACAAGAAATTCAAGACAAGAAGGAAAATATTCCAACGTTAAAATACTCCAAGTTATATCTTGCCACACAAGAAAGGGAAGAAAATCCTACTATCCTGTTAAATCCATTTTAAGGAAACAAACATAAAGTACAAATGGGTCTTCTATAACACGTTACAGATAACATTTGAGAATAAAAGAAAATCCTTAGACTCTGTAAAAGCTGCCCTAAATTGGCTCTTACATTAAAAAAAAATATATATTTTTTTTTTTACATACAGCTATTTAAGAAATAGATAATTGTTAAATAATCACTGACCACTGGAAAGGGTAAAGTAGAGAAGGTCAAATATAAATGCAGACTAAGGGAAGTAAAGATAATATAGATATAGTAGTTTGTAATATCACGATTTTATAGCACAAAAATAATATAGATATAGACCATGTACAGAGAACAGTGGATTTGATATTTTATTTTTATTTCACATGATTAAAATAGAGGGGGGAAAAAAAAAAAAATATATACAGATTTTCTAACCCCGAATTTAACGCACAAAGATTAAAATTTAGAATAAAGAGAGACAAGATGGTAGGTACAATAAAATAGAAAGGAGAAGGGAAAAAGATAAAATTAAGAAAGAAAATTACTTAAAGTTTGACAAATAAGGCATTAGGTACGTCTTTACATACACAAATATATGAAATTATACCTATAAAATAAAATAATGCATTTGTTCTTTTCTTTCTCTTTCCTTTCCTGTTAAACCTCTCTTTTTTTGCAGAAAGTAGGGATAGAGGAGCGGAGGGAGGGGAGAGACAGAGACAGAAAACAGATTTGAGATGAAGTAATAAACTCAGCAGTATTAGTCTTCATAATAGATGTATAAGGATTTAAATGACCCAGTGGCTACATCAACTGGAAAATGGTCCTTGATTCCCCAACAAATTTGAGTATAAGAGTTGTATTCACTACTATTGGTAGACTGTTATAAGTCTATAAATCTGATGTATGTAATTTTTTTTCTGTAAGCATAATATAAAAGTAAAATACCTCTTGTAAAAGAAACTCCCAAAAAGGTGAGATTCTTGAAAGATTAAAAGAAAAAAAATAGATTTAGGGGAATAAAGAGGGAGGTAAAAAGATATGTACATATATATAGTAAATGGTTAAAGTCATATCCTTGAATGTTCAATGTCTAATCTCACGTTTCAAGAGATCTTGCCTTTTTGCATTTGTAAAAGAAAGTATACAAATAACCTTCTTACAGGAAACCCATTGGTTAAAATCAGACATATTAAGGTTCATATCAGATAGATGTTCAATGAAACTCTGTGCCTCATTAGCAGACAAAGAGGTGTAGCTGTTTTTAAACCAAAAGATGGCCAACTGATATATCAAGTAATCGACTTACAAGCAATATATAAAATAATTATATGTAAATTTAATATATAAGATATATAGAATTGTGAACGTCTACGCTCCAAATAAAATTAACATTAAGTTTATCAGAAACATTATGATTAAAATAGATCAGATCAAACAGGGATGAGTAATAATAGAGGGTGATTTCAACAAAGTATTAGACTCAAATGGATAGGATATACATTAACAAAATATTAACAAAAAAAAAGTGAAGTTACCCATATTTTATTTCTTTTTTATTTGTCACTTATTACTTAATTAGTTTGGATTAAAGGGAAACTCAACTGCAAAAAAAAAAAATCACTTTTTTTTTTTTTTAAATTGGGTGTATATCTGAAACCTCTTGCAAGAGCTGCAATTCTCTTGTCTGCTGCTTTTATAAGCCCTCTCCTTCTTTCCAAGCCAAGACTTTAACTGGCTGTCCAATCAGACTTTGCAGTGCATCTCTATAAGAAGTCTTTTGCAAAGAAGGTGTCCTGTGTAATTGCTGCCTCTTGAGTTTAGCTCCACTAAGCTAAACACTAGGAAGTAACAGGACAGGTTGTCTATGTAACAGCCAGGTGTGTAATAAGGTTAATATATAAAAGTGCCAATATCTATTTAAATCTGCACTTTTTTGTAAAATGAAAGAGGGGGGCACACTCTTCACACATAGAGCATATCAGCAAGCTAAAGTGCTTTAGGGATCCAGAATGTTCCTTTAAAGAAATGTTAATACAGTTATTATAACTGTATGTTTTATGTAGTTCATAATAGACTGTTTCTTTGAATTATAGAAATAGATCTGAATATAGCTCCTCTGGGGATTGCCTATTCAAGTGTGATCTTTTTCATAAATTGTTTGAAATCAACTAAAAGCAAGGATGGCGGTCTAAAAATGTTCTGAGTAGACTATCATGCCCTGTTAATAGAAAGGTACTTTGAATTCTTGAGCATTTAGGATTTAATTGATAACCTTCAGGATTATTCACTGAAGTGAAAATGAATTTCAAATTTAAGGTCAAAATAGCTATACTGGAAAAATACTCATACTCTGTTACTCCATTATGCTTCCAGCAACACCTGGCTTAAATTTGGAATTCACTTTGAATTCTCACTTTAGTAAGCAGCCCTGCTTGTCTAAATGAACATTTTGATTGGATGATTCTTTAAAAGGTGACATGGTTGTCCATCCAGCATGATACTTCTTCTAACAGGGTTATTCACTAAAGTAAGAATTCTCAGTGAGTTTAAAATTTAAGGCCAGAGTAGCCTTTTGACCTTAAAATTGAAATTCACTTTGAATTCTTACTATAGTAAATAACTCTAAAAGTTCTGTTCTGTTTAGTAGTTAACTTTTCATACAGCATCATATATTTTGTAAATCTCTCTACATAGGCTTATATGATTACAAAGCGGCCTAATAACCATGCCAAACGTGACAGAAGTGACTATGTGCCAGAAAAAATGTGCAGAACCCAGTACTCTACTATGGACTCTCCATGTCATGCAACAATGTATATGAAGAACTGTGAGGAAAAGATTTTGAAACTGACTTATAAGATCATGCATCTTCTGACTGGGGAGGTGAGTGGTTATGGTACTAGGCCATTAATCTTTAACAGCTTGGGCAATCAAGTGTGTGAAGATAATTTGCGTCATTTACTAAAGTATCACTGTTCTTTTTAAAGGAACACTCGAAGAACCATGCCCACTACAACTTACTGTAGTGGTTATGGTGCCAGGAGTTCAGTGGCACCGTTTTAGAACACCTGGTGCTGTTCCACATCTACACTACTAATCGCGGGAATGATCAGCTGATGCCAATTCTTAGGAATTAAATTGACACTGTAGTCACCACAACAACTATAGCTTATTGTATTTATGCTGGTAAGTATAATCATTCCCTTCAGGCTTCTTGCAGTAAATACTTGTTTTTTTCAGAGAAAATGCAATGTTTACGTTACAGCCTAGGGATACCTCCACTGTCCACTCCTAACATGGCTGCAAGAGGTGCTTCCTGGGGCAGAGTTGCACGGTTTGCAGCACGAACATTCCGTGTCGCCACCCTCTGCATGGAGACACTGAACTTTCCTCATAGAGATGCATTGATTCAATGCATTTCTGAGGAGGTGCTGATTGGCCAGGGCTGCGTTTGGCTTGTGCTGGCTCTGCCCCTGATCTGCCTTCTTGACAAGCTCAGCCAATATAATGCTTCCCTGTGTGAAAGCATTGTGATTGGCTTTTGATGAACACTTCTGATGATATCAGGAGCAGAGCCAGCAGCACCAAACTGGAGTAAAAGTAAGATTTTGTTATATTTGGGAGCCATGGGGTGCTAGATGGTGGTTTTAACACTATAGGGTCAGGTATATATGTTTGTGTTCTTTACCCTATAGTGTTCCTTTAATGGCTCACCAGCATTAGTAGAGAAGGCAGGGAGCTGTGCCTGGGTAAGAAGTCAAATCATTCTAAAACAGTTTGAATTGTAATGGTTTATGGTGCATGGAATCCTATTATATACAATTATGTAAAATAACAGATACAATTATCAACTTGCAATAAATTTTTAAGTGGACCAGTCCAGAATATGCATGAAAGTGTGTATATGTATATATAAAAAAAGAAACAACCTTTTATGCAAAAAAAAGTTACAAATAAATATATAAAAAAATAAAATTTTCAAATATGTCAGCAGACTCTAAATACAGAGGGTAGACAATGGCTTCAATGAAGTGTGCAAGTCACTTACAGACGTTGGAGTCTATGTATTATGTGCAGTAAAGGATATGGTGGCCAATCTTCATGTAAGGTGAAATTATGAAGTCCCCACAAGAGATGCAGGTCATCACACATACGTGTATATTAGGCCCTCACTTGGCCTTCCACAACATATACTTCATATGACCCTCTGTGGGCAATTTACTACAACCACTATTTTAGGACATATACATGTGTTGTGAGCAGGTGCCATGTTACTCAAATGTCTCATCGTTATTATCTGTAATAGTTCTGCCATTACGGGCCTCTCACGGGTCAATTTGGTTATATACACCAGGGCTTGACATGTTTGCTTGTGATTTTGGTGTGTATAGCCTGTCCCTTCAGGCTTTTCAATGCAAACACTACCTTTTCAGAGAAAAGACAGTGTTTACATTGCTGCCAAGTAACACCTCTTGTGGCCACAGGTGTTTCCTATTACAGTGCTGCACTATGAACAGCGTCTCCATGCTCGGCATAGAGGCGCTGAATGTTCCACGTAGAGATGCATTGATTCAATGTATCTCTATGAGGAGATGCAGATTAGTGCATGCTTTCCTATAGGAATGCATTGGCTTGGCTGAGATAATCAAGATTGGAGGCGTGTACAGTCACGACGTGGTAAACATGTGGGTAAAATCACCTTTCACATACTCACTGTCACACACATCACAGACAGACAAACTCAGACGGGCAGACACACTCAGACTCACAGTTGTAATTGTGCAAAAATTATTTTAATTGAAATCCACTCAGCCTCCCTACCGTTGGAGAGCTGGAGTGGATGCCTATCCATTGGGGTCCATTGGGTCTGCTGTCACCTCTCTGCTCTGCTCCCTGTTGCGTGCAGTTTAGTATGCCGGGGCCGGCATGATGTCATATTCCGACTCCCGGCATCACTGCTGGATGGGCGAGGGAGCAGAGCATAGAGATGACAGCTCCCTCGCCACCCGGTTCCATTCATCACAGAAGCTGCCAGCTTCCTCTGCTCTCTCACAACCCCCTGCTGGCCGTCTAGGCTCTCCTTCAGCCATCTGCCTGCATTCTCCCTCACCGCTTCGGGCCGACAAATCCTAGGCGCCAGGACAGAATTCCTAGTCGCCATAAAAACCTGGCACCTGGGATTTCTCAAGCCCTGATATACACACTATGATATTTAGCATGTCCGCCATTTTGCTGTATTATGTATGTATTGAAACTGCTCCACAGCTCAACAACCATTAATCAACCCATGTCCTATTATTTTAAACATCCTCTAATTCTCATACTGCTCTTATTATTATTATTATTATTATTGCCATTTATATAGCGCAAACAGATTCCGTAGCGCTTTACAATATTATGAGAGGGGGGATTTAACTATAAATAGGACAATTACAAGATATAAAATTGAATAATTGAGCCTTTGTATACATATTTGTTAATGGCTTATCTGATTCCATTTTAGATGAGGTAATTGCAAGAGAATTACCTGAGAATCTGGAGGAACTCATCTCTTACCTATCCCTTATAGATGAGAGATTAAGACACATGGAAAACACTAGGGAAAGGCCTAAAAGACCTGCTGTAAGAGTAGCACCTACTTTTCCATCAGATTCCATGGCTATAGCTATTCTGGAACCAATGCAGTTAGGTGTGACTAGACTGTCTGAGGCAGAACGTATACATTGAAGGAGAGAGGAATTATGTATGTATTGTGCAAAGAGAGGGCATCTTTGCTTATCTTGTCCTGAAAGGCCGGAAACTCCAGAGCCTAAGGTCTAACAGAGGACCGGCCTTGGGTGTTTTAATTGAGTCCTCCGCGACCCTAAAAATCAGAAAAAAGGCTTCTTATACCAATCACATTGACACTTGAGAAAAAATAGATACATACGTCTGCTCTATTAGTTTCTGGGACTGCAGAGAGTTTTATCGATAAAACTTTTGCTCAAAAATATTTTCTTACTCTCAGAGAAAGAACTACATCTTTTGGCCGTTGAACCCACTATCACTAAAGAAACTGTTCCTGTTTTTAAAAATAGTTTTGCAAGCCATTTCTTTACTTTCTTTTCCCATTGTTCTAATATATCCATGGCTAACAAAGCATAACCCTGAGATTGGGAGAAGGGTGAAATAGTGAAATGGAGTTCTTCTTGTGTTAAGGGATGTGTTTCTGAAATTAAACCCCTCGGCATTATCAATGTACCCACTTTGCCCCCTTTATCCACAAAGACACCAGAGATGTAGATATAGGGGAGTTATTTGATAAAAAGGAAGCCAATAAGTTACCCCCACATCATTCTTACGATTGTGCCATTGAGTTACTTCCAGGTACTATGCCTCCTAGAGGTTCTGTATGTCCTCTTTCTCAGAAGGAGAATATCATATTGGAGGAGTACATACAAGAAAATCTGGCTAAAGGTTTTATTCGCAGGTCTTTTTCACCTGCTGGAGCTGGGTTCTTTTTAATCTTTAAAAAGGAGGGTCATCTTAGGCCATGCATCGATTATCGTGGACTCAATAAAATAAAAATCCGTATAGTGTGTCCTATACCACTTGTTATAGAACTTTTTAATAAGCTCAAAGGTTCCAGAATTTTTACTAAATTAGATTTGCGAGGGGCATATAATTTAGTGAGAATCAAACAAGGAGCTGAATGGAAGACTGCCTTCAACACTAGATATGGCCACTATGAATACGCAGTAAAGCCATTCGGTTTATGCAGTGCTCCGGCCATCTTTCAAGATCTCATAAATGACGTTTTAAGAGAGTATCTAGATGATGTAGACGATATCTTGATAAACCCCTCTTGTATAGATGAACATCACAAACATATAAGAAAGGTACTCCAAACATTAAGGAATGGTTTATTCTGCAGACTAGAGAAATGTCTCTTTGATCAAGAAAAAGTGCATTTCTTGGGTTATGTTATATCAGAATCAGTGTTCCAAATGGATCCACAGAAATTAAAGGCCATTAGGGATTGGCCTATTCCTAATGGATTAAAGGCTATCCAGAGATTTATAGGATTCTCCAATTATTATAGGAGATTCATTAAGAGGTTTATTTCTATCCTTTTTCCATTGGATGCATTTGATTGCCTCAAAGAAGCATTTGATTCTGCTCCCATTCTGATTCATGCTCCTTCTCTTCCATTTCTTTTGGAGGTAGACGCTTCTGACTCCGGTATAGGGGCTATACTGTCTCAAAGAAAAGCTCCAGACCAACCTCTTTATCCTTGTGTTTTTTTTTTTTATTGTCTAATACAGAAAGAAATTTAGAGATCGGGGATAGAGCATTGTTGGCCATTGTGTTATCCTTAAAGGAATGGCGTTATCTGTGTGAAGGTTCACTCACGACTAATTCCATTCCTACTGATCATAAGAATCTGTTGTATATAGCTGAGAGTAAGAGTAGAGAGGCCCGTTGGACCTTTATTTTTTTCATGTTTCAATTTTGTACTAACCTATAGACCAGGTACTAAGAATACTAAAGCAGATGCCTTGTCATGTCAGTTTGAGCCCATGACACCGAAGTTGAAGTGTCTCCCATCATTCCTAAGGATAAAGTAATAGCAGCCACCCAGTTCAGAGTTACTTTTGAGTTATTGAATACTCTAAGAGAGAAACAAAATGAGGCACCTAGTCAAACCCCACAAAACACTTTATATGTTCCCCTTGACCTAAGATAAAATGTGTTATCATTGTGTAATGATAATAAAACTTCAAGACGTCTGGGAATAAAAAAAGACCACCTCTCTTATTTCTTCTCAGTTCTGGTGGCCTTCTTTGTCCCTTGATGTCAAAGAATACTTACAAGCTTGTAATGTGTATGTCCAATCCAAGACACCTCACACTTTACCATGTGGTTTATTGCAACTATTAGAAATACCCAAAAAACCATAGTCTAGTATTTCTTTTGATTTTATAGTAGACCTACCTATTTCTAATTATCACACTGTCATTCTTACTATTGTTGACAGATTTTCTAAAATGGCACATTTCGTACCTTTGCGTAAACTACCCTCTTCAGTTGAATTTTATATTTTCTTTATTTTATTTATATTTTCTAGAGAGGTGTTTAGATTGCATGGCTTACCACAAGAAATTGTCGGACAGAGGTCCACAATTTATATCCCGATTTTGGAAAGAATTCACTGCTCGTCTTGGTATGTCTTTCATCTGCTTATCACCCACAGTCTAATAGGGCTGCTGAAAGAACTCATCAGTCATTGGAAAAGAGAAAATGGGATTAAAATTATACTCGCATAACGTGAGAGTCCTGAATACACCACACAAATGTAGATTATTATATAAGAAATAAAGATGTTACTCTGAAGTCCATTTTTTTTATTTTTTATAAAAGAGACGCACTTTAAAAATAATAAAAAATTTCACAAAAACACAAAAAAAAAATATCCCACAAAATTCCATTCCACGTTTAAAACAAATTCCAGGGCAGTCTCAATTTTGTTTCCTAGGAATGTAGCATGTCACACTGGCGAAGTAAACATGGATAAAGAGGGCTGATATATAATATGGAGAGGCAAACTTAATGGGGTGGATTATGTCCTTGCCAGCATACATTTCCCTAGCTCTGGTCAATTTCAATTGCTATAAAAAACGATTACTCGAGTTTTAAAAGCTACAAAAAACAATATGAAAATTTTTTTATTCAAAAGGAAACAAGGCCTCATTACTGGCCTCTAAATTATTACATAATCTCTCCCAAACAAGAATTGAACATTTAGTGATCGTACATGGTACTAAAACAACCCCCCCCCCAAAAAAATTTTTTTTGCTGATTACTATAAAAATATAAAAATAAAACTATATAATGTGGCTTCAGATTATAACATTAATCAGCCCACATATGAAAAAAATATGTTCATTCTTGGGTAAGACTTAAAAAAAATTCAAAATATAAATTGGATTCTCTAAATTCACTTAATACCATTAATAGTATTCCTCCGGACCTGATGGTTTTACAATATTGTACTACAGAACATTCTCCGGTGTATTAGTCCCTCACTTAAATAAATGTAACCATTATTGGAATACTGGTACAATGCCGGAAGAAAATATGTGTGCTCAGATCATAACACTGCCTAAATCTGGTAATTTTTCACCCTCTACCATTAATTAAAGGACCACTATAGGCACCCAGACCACTTCAGCTCAAGTCCATCTAGGATTAACCCTGCCTGCTGTAAAAATAGCAGTTTCAGAGAAACTGCTATGTTTACATTAGGGTTAATCCACCCTCTAGTGGCTGTCTCACCGTGATTTTCACAGTGAGAAGACGTCAGCGTCCATAGGAAAGCATTGAGACACAAAGATTTATTCAAAGATTTTGGCAATTAGATTATCAAAAATTCTTCTTCCTTTACTTAATAATTGCCAGGTCTGCTTTGTATTAAATAGTCAGGCCCCAGACAGTACTAGAAGGCACATTAATTTAATTAAATAAAATTGGGACGCGCACCGTGTCTGCTTCTTTCTTTAGATACAGAGAAGGCATTTGATAGAATTCATTTGGATTATCCTGTGGAGGATATGTTGAGATTTGGCTTACCAGACCCTTTCATCAGGGCTGTGCTATTTTATATTCTAATTCAGCAGCCAAGGTTTCTGCAACTGGATTAATATCTGTTTTTCTTTGACCAATGAAACAAGACAGGATTATCCATTGTCACCACTCTTATTTGTGATGGCAATGAAACCCTTAGCGGAAAATATAAGAGGGTGTGCAGAAATTGAGGGCATCATAGTGGGAGATAAGGAACACAAAATACGCCTATTTGTAGATGACATTATGCTATCATTGAAAATTCTATTGTCCTTACTTACTCCGATTAATGTCCATCCTACAAGAATTCAGCAACATTTCCCTGTATTAATTAACCTCTTAACGCCGTTGCAGCTTTCCATGCTGTCCTGCTTTTAATGGGCTTAAAGCCATTGCGGCGGCATGAAACACCGTAACTGCTTTGAGCCCATCGCCCGAGGTGTACTCCCCTCCACTGCAAACCTCTTCTGGGGCACTGCCTGACAGCCCAGGCAGTCGTCCCCCCCTCCCCACCCTGGAAAATTAGGCCCTAGGGGCTATCTTATCGCTCTTTCGGAGTCCGTATAGCTGGGTCAAGCAGTCCCCCTAATGGCCAGAAAAGGAAAATAAAATATTAGTAAAGCAAAATAAAAATAATCTATAATTTTATAATGAATGTATTTTGATATTGAGATATATATATATGTGTATATATATATATCTATCTATCTCAATATCACAATACACTTAGAATAAAATTACATATAAATACAATTAAAATATATATATATATATATATATATATATATTTGTAAAATAAATCAATACATAAAAGAAAGAAGTACTTTAAAGAAAACAAATAAAATATATGTAATTTCATTCTTACTGTATTTTGATATTAATATATAAATATTGGTATCAAAATACATTTAGAATAACATTCTATATATCTACAAGTATAGAAATAAATAAAATAATTGTAAGAAATATTTATATATAATTACATAACACACATGCACATTGAATTTAAATATATATGTATATATGTATGTAATTTAACATAATTTAAGTGATTTAATTAATAATAATTTGAGGGACCTGCCTGACGACCCAGGCATGAAGTCCAAAGCATTTTAACCCTGTAACTCTCCATTACATCATAAAACCTGTACATGGGAGGTACTGTTGTACTCGGGAGACTTCACTGATTACAAATATTAGTGTTTTAAAACAGTAAAACATATTAAAATGCAGTTTTTGTGTGAAAAACGCAAAAAAAATAAATATGAACTCTAACTTTGGCCAATGTTTGTGACTAAATGACTACTAAAAAAACACTGGACATAACCCATTTTGAATACCCTGGGTTGTGTACTTTTGCAAATGCTATGCAATGGTGATTAATTTTCATTTATAGGCTGCCATATGGTGTCAATGGCAACATAACCAATCTGTGAAATTTCAACTTGCAAAAACAGAAATGGGCAAAGGATATTTGTCCCTGTATCTTTCCAAAACACCAATGGGTGGTACTGTTGTTTTTGTGAGATCTTACTGAACACAAATTTGAGTGTTTTAGAACAATAAAACCTATAATGCTGATATCATCACCGTTGAAAGGGCAGTTTATTTGTGAAAAATGCAAAAAAAAAACAAAATGACCGCTGAATTTGACCACTGTTTATGTCTAAGTGGCTACTAAAAAAGACTAGACGTAGCCCATTGTTGCGGTCGCCGGCCTGCCGCGTGGCATGGACGTGCCCGACCGACACAGCCTCGCCGTCAGCAAGAGCTTACCTGCTCGTCGGTGAGCTGGAAACCGCTCCCCCAGGTCTTCCGGGCGTGGTCGCGTCCATCTCTAGCTCCATTCCCGAAAATTATAATAACGTGCGCGTGACGTCACGACGTCAACGCACACGCACGTTTTGGGGTGAGAAGTCGCCCTCTGACCAATCAGAGCATAGAGAGGGATATTTAAATCCCTAGCTCTCCCCAGTACCTTGCCCTGTCGTGGTTTCCTGTTCCTGGTTTCCTGAGAGTGCTTTATCTTTGTGAATCTGATTTCCTGGTATCCTGATCTTGGCTTTTCCCTGGTTATTCTGGATTCTGGTTTCCCTGACTTGGCTTGTGTAAACGGTATTGTGTATTTTCTGGCTTCCTTGACCTCGGCTTTCCCTTTGACCATTCTCTGTCTCTAGCGTTTTAGTCCGGCCATTCTAAGGTCCGGTTTATGCTCTGTGCTTTTATTTTCCTTTTCCTTCTTATGTATATGTTTACATAGTTTCTGCGTGCTGGACCACACTAGTAGTCGTGACACCCATCTTGAATACCATGGGTTGTCTTTTTTTCAAATGGTATACCATGCTGGCGGTAAGTTTCATTACTGGGCTGCCAATATGGTCTCAAAGGCAAAATGGGCCAAATGGTACAACCCATGTGTAGATTTTATGGGGTTTTGGAAAGTTTCAGGGTCAAATATACATCTTGCCCATTTATGTTTTTACACCTAGAAATTTGAAAACGTGATTTTTTATTTTTTTTTGTCACATTTGAGAGAGTATAACAGCCTGGGTAATAACATTTCCACCGTTATGGCATACCATTTTCAAAAGTAGGGAATCCAGAGTATTCCAAATGGGATATTGTGATATTTTTTGGTCTAACCACTTTATCAGAAATGCAGGACCCGTATAGTGGTCATAGTTTTTTTCGTGCTTTTTCACACACACACTAACTCAATTTTCACAGGGCATTTCATATTCCTGATATGAGTTATTGCAGTAAAGCCTCAGTATTTTAATTTAAAGGAGTACTATAGGGTCAGGAACACAAACGTATTCCTGACCCTATAGGGTTAAAACCACCATCTAGCCACACTGGTCCCCTCATGCCTCCCTAAATATAGTAAATCTTACTTGCATTCAAGTCTGCAGCTACATGCTTTGTGCCTGTTTTCTTTAGACCTGCCTGCAGACATCAGCAGTAGTGGTAGCCTGATCCAGTCACAAAGTATTGGCTGAGACTGACAAAGAGGCAGATCAGGGGCAGAGCCAGCACAATTCAAAACACAGCTCTGGCCAATCAGCATCTCCTCATAGAGATTAATTGAATCAATGAATCTCTACGAGGAATGTTCAGTGTCTGCATGCATTTTGGGCAGCCATGACCCAGGAAGGATCTCTAACAGCCATCTGAGGTGTGGCCAAGGAAGTTATCACTAGGCTGTAATGTTAACACTGCATTTTCTCTGAAAAGACAGTGTTTACAGCAAAAAGCCTGAAGGTAATGATTCTACTTACCAGAACAAATTCAATAAGCTGTATTAGTTCTGGTGACTATTGTGTCCCTTTAGCATTGTCTCCTGAATCATATAAAAACAGTAGCATTCTGCTCGCTTGTAAACCTTGATGTAAACAGTGGTTATAGCATGGTGAACGCAGACTGATACCTGTTAAAGTGCAACTCATTTCTATTCTGGAATAAACATGAATCCTTAGCTGGGGCAGTTATCATTGGAGGTATCCAATATGGAAAATAAGTAAAAGGTTAAATTAAATTTTAAAATGTGAGTACATTACTCTGTGCGTAGTGCATATTGCACTGCCTTTGTCTAGATTTACTATAGCTGCTGAAGCGGGTCACTGCCCTTTAAGTGGGTAGTGCTGGATGTGGCAACCTGTATTGCTTTACCTTCTAAAAAGGAGTCTATGGAAAAAATAGGGAGCTTTCAGGTATGCCTACGTAAAAGCCTAACAAGCTGGGAGGGTTGTCAAGGCTTTATTAGCTTCCAGATGTTGAACATGGGTTGCGCCAGCGGGGCCTGTAAAAACCCCTAACCAAGGGGGAATGGGGCGAGAAACTTGTTGGGAGGTCCCCGTATTTAAATGAAACAGGTATAGAATAATATAAGGCAATGGAAAGTAATAACAATGAGCATTAAACCAGACAGAGACCTCCATCCTAACTATGACAAACTATGGCTCGGACGCCTTGATACTACCTTGTAGTGGCCCAACGGTTAGTGCGGATGATTAAGAAGGAAAACAAGAAAACAAATAACATGAAAGTCACTAAACTGGCTAGAACATTAACTAAGCGCTTGTATAGTCAGTTAAAGGACCACTCTAGGCACCCAGACCACTTCAGCTTAATGAAGTGGTCTGGGTGCCAGGTCCAGCTAGGGTTAACCCATTTTTTTATAAACATATTTTTATAACCCATTTTTTTATGAACATGTTTATAAATGGGTTAATCCAGCCCTCAAATCCTCTAGTGGCTGTCTCACTGACAGCCGCTAGAGGCGCTTGGGTGCTTCTCACTGTGAAAATCACAGTGAGAACACGCAAGCGCCCATAGGAAAGCATTGTAAATGCTTTCCTATGAGACCGGCTGAATGCGTGCGCAGCTCCTGCCGCGCATGCGCATTCAGCCCAGGAGGAGGATCGGAGGTGGAGAGGAGGAGGAGAGCTCCCCGCCCAGGGCTGGAGAAAGGTAAGATTTAACCCCTTTCCTCTCCCCAGAGCCCGGCGGGAGGGGGACCCTGAGGGTGGGGGCACCCTCAGGGCACTATAGTGCCAGGAAAACGAGTGTTTTCCTGGCACTATAGTGGTCCTTTAAGACATTTAAGTTACGGATTCCCATTTGCTGGATGGAACAAATGGTGTCACATTCCATACATCCCAGGCATGGGTCATAGCAGGTCGTGCTGCAGCGGGATGTGGCTCTTGTATGCTGAGGGCTATGAGGAAGATGGATACGTCCTCCACGGATGTGGCTTTGTAAGTCTTTTCTTCCTTCGTTACCAACAGAGTCTGGGGTGCTGCCTAGTGGTACGGAATACCTGCTTCTTTGTGGTGATGGGTTGCATGGATGGGTAGTCAATTGAGTATATTCGAAGCAAGGTCTAGTTACTAGTTGGGTACCTCAGGGGTCTGTACTTGGACCCATTCTCTTTAATATTTTTATTAGTGATTTTGCAGAAGATCTTGATGGGAAGGTATGTGTTTTTGCTGATGATACAATTTGCAACAGGGTTGATGTTCCAGGAGGGATAAGCCAAATGGCAAATGATTTAGGTAAATTAGACAAATGGTCAGAGCTGTGGCAACTGACATGTAATTTGGATATTGTGCAAGATAATGCATCTTGGGTGTAAAACCCCTAGGGCAAAGTATAGAATATTTGATACGCTACTAACCTCAACATCTGAGGAAAGGGATTTAGGAGTAATTATTTCAGATTACTTAAAGGTAGACAGACAATGTAGTAGAGCAGCAGGAAATGCTAGCAGAATGCTTGGTTGTATAGGGAGAGGTATTGGCAGTAGAAAGAGAGAAATGCTCATGCTATTGTACAGAAAACAGGTGAGACCTCACTTGGAGCATTGTACGCAGTACTGGAGACCGTATCTTCAGAAGGATTTTAATAATTTGGAAATGGTTCTGAGTAGGGCCACTAAACTGGTTCATGGATTGCAGGATAAAACTTACCAGGAAGGGTTAAAGGATCTTAACATGTATAGCTTGGAGGAAAAAACGAGACAGGAGGGGATATGTTAGAAACCTTTAAAGGGAATCAACACAGTAAAGGAGGAGACTGTATTTAAAATAAGAAAAACTACCACAACAAGAGGAAGTATTACTTTACTGAGAGGGTAGTGGCAGGGCCGGTGCAAGGACTTTTGCCGCCCTAGGCAAAAGTAAAGTTTGCCGCCCCCCCATGTGACATCACAATGCCCCACCCATATGATCTGCCATGTTAACTAACGCCAGTGCTGCAGTGCCGCCGTGTTTACATTAAAAGGCCTGCAGGGACAGGCTATAGACACCAGAACCACTACATTAAGCTGCAGTGGATCTGGGGACTATAGTGTTTCTTTAATGTGAGGTAAATTAGAGATTAGTGCCATTACTAATATACTAGATTGCCTACTTACAACCAGATGAGGATGATGATGGGCTCTAGCTGCAGTCTGGCTCCACTGGTCTGGTGTAGAACAGGCTCTCTGGAGGCGGTTTGTAACTGTGGTCACAAAAATCAATGTTCTGGGAGAACGGGAAGCAGCTCCATTTTTTGGGGGCCCTTTACACAGCTCAAGGTCTGGGTCCCAGGGTCCACCGTCATGTTCCACCAATGAGTTTGTTCACAGGGGGTGGAGTGTGTCGGGGTTGTCCTGATGTGTGTATGGAATGCATTGTGTGAATCTGTGTTTGTATGTGTAAGGGCTGCAAGGTGTGTTTGTGTATGTATGGGATGTAGTGTGTGCGTCTGTAAGGGATGCATTGAATGTGTGTAAGGGGTGCATTGAGTGTGTGTAATTAATGCATTGTGTGTTTCTGTGTGTGTAAGGGATGCATTGCTTGTGTCTGTGTGTGTAATGCATTGTGTGTTTTTCTGTGTGCAAGGGGTGCATTGTGTGTGATTGTGTGTAATGGATGTCAATCTCCCCCTCTCGTCAATTTCCTTCTCCCCCCTCTCCAATTTCCTTCTCCCCCCTCTCCAATTTCCTTCTCCCCCCTCTCCAATTTCCTTCTCCCCCCTCCAATTTCCTTCTCCCTCCCTCCAATTTCATTCTCCCCCCTCTCCAATTTCCTTCTTCTCCCCCTCTCCAATTTCCTTCTTCTCCCCCCCTCAATTTCTTCTTCTCCCCCCTCTCAATTTCCTTCTTTTCCTCTCAATTTCCTTCTTCTCCCCCTCTCTCCAATTTCCTTCTTCTCTCCCCCTCTCAATTTCCTTCTTCTCCCCCTCTCCAATTTCCTTTTTCTCCCCCCCTCAATTTCCTTCTTCTCCCCCCTCTCCAATTTCCTTCTTTCCCCCTCTCAATTTCCTTCTTCTCCCCTCTCTAATTTCCTTCTCTCCCCCCTCTCCAATTTCCTTCTTCTCCCCCCCCTCTCAATTTCCTTTTTTCTCCCCCTCTCCAATTTCCTTTTCTCCCCCCTCTCAATTTCATTCTCCCCTCTCAATTTCATTCTCCCCCCCCTCCAATTTCCTTCTTCTCCCCCCTCCAATTTCCTTCTCCCCCCTCTCCAGTTTCCTGTATGCTTCAGTGTGCACTTCGTGTTAGTCCGGCCGGGTACAGGAGACAGATGCTCCCTGTACCCACGGACCATACAGAGCTCAGCCACGCTACAGTGAGGGAGTGACAGGATGGAGCGCTGAGCGCTTCCCTCCTGTCAGCCCCTCTCCTCATGCTGCGCCCGGGCGGTGCGCCCTCATGGATGCACCAGCCCGGGCAAAGCTGCAGCCGCCTGAGGTTCTCTGCAGAGCACTCGGGCGGCTGCAGCATGAGGTAGGCTGGCGCTCCTGGCGGCGCCCCTTCCCAAGGGGCGACCTAGGCGGCTGCATAGTTCGCCTAACAGGTAGCGCCGGCCCTGGGTAGTGGACCCATGGAATACCCTTTTCAGCTTTAGTGGTAGAGGTTAACACAGTGAGAGAGTTTAAGCATGTGTGGGATAGGCATAAGGCTATCCTAGACTTAAGATAAGGCCAGGGACTAATTAAAAGTATTTCAAAAATTGGGCAGACTAGATGGGCCGACTAGTTCTTATTTGCCATCTCAGTCTATGTTTCTAAGCATGGGTCTTATCTGCACTCATGTTACTTTATCCTCTGTATCACAACTCAACTTTGAATTCTGTGTTTATTCTTTCCTCAGAAATGCTTTAGACTTAAAGTGAGGTTCTCCCGAAAGCTTGTCCTTACAAAATTCTGTTAGTCCAATAAAAAAAGGTATTACAAGATATGAATTGTATCTGTTTTTTACATCTGCATCACTGGACTAATATGGCTACAGTCTCTTTTATTTATGTATATATATATATATATATATCTGTCAAAACATGAGACCTCTGACCTGACAGGTGAAGTGAATTATATTGATTATATTCTTATAATGGCACCTGGCAAGGGGTGGAATTTATTAGACAGCAGTCAGTTCTTGAATTTCATGTGTTGGAAGCAGGAAAATGGGCAAGCAAAAAGATCTGAGTGACTTTGACAAGGGCCAAATAGTGATAGCTCGATGACTGGGTTAGAGCACCTCCAAAATGGCAAGTCTTGTAGGGTGTTCCCAGTATGTAGTGTTTCATAACCAATAAAAGGGGTGCAAGGAAGGACAATCTGAATCGGCAGCAGGGTCATGGGCGCTCAAGACTCATTGATGCACATGGGGAGCGAAGGCTAGCCTGTCTGGTCCGATCATGCAGAAAAGCTACTGTGCTTAAATTGCTGAAAAACTTTATTCAGTACACAGTGTATCGCAGTACGGTCAGATTGCACATGATGTCCACCGCCAAAAGTGCCTTCAATTCATTAAAATTGGATCTTGGAGCAGTGGAAGAAGGTATCTTGGTCTGATGAATAACATTTTCTTTTAGGTCAGGTGGATGGCCGGGTGTTTGTGTGTAGTTTACCTTTGGAAATTGTTGGAAGTTGTCTCTTTCAGCAGGATAATGCACCGTGCCACACTGAAAAAAATGTTCAGGAATGGTTTGAGGACATGACATTTAGTTCAAGGTGTTGCTTTGGCCTCAAAATTACCCAGATCACAATCCTATATAGCATCTGTGGGATGAGCTGGAACAACAAATCCGATCCATGGAGGCCCCACTTTGCAACTTGCAGGACATAAAAGATCTGCTGCTATGTGGTGCCATGTAGCAAAGGACACGTTTAGAGGTCTTGTGGAGCCCATGACTCAACATATCACAGCTGTTTTGTCCGTTTGAGGGAGATCTACATTTTAGGTTTTAATGCGTGTGTGTGTGTGTGTGTGTGTGTGTGTGTGTGTGTATATATATATATATATATATATATATATATATATATATATATATATATAATGTGTGTGAATATAAATTTATATATATATTTATAATGCCAGAGTATTGGAGTATGCAATGATATTTTTTTTTATTGGACTAACAAAATATTTCAAAGAAAAGCTTTAGAGAGTTTTCTTCTCTTCCACAGGTCTTGATGCAATACTGATAAATCATATAGAAATAACTCTATCAGATTAATCCGTATTGCTTCAGACCCGAGGAAGAGATGAAAACTATATATTATGTAAGTCCAATAAAATACTGCATACTGCAATACTCTGGTATTTTGGCATCTTGTCTACAGCCTAATATCCACCTGTTTATTTTAATTATAGCCCTTAACCCTGCTCTTTTCATGAAATTGCCCCCACCAGTAATTTGTCACACCTCCATGTACTCCCTGTATTTTATTAATCACTGGGTAGCAATAACTGTGGGATAAGCATGGTGGGTAACGGCAGAAGTGAGGTGTAAAACTTATATGGGGGTCATATTGATCCACATAGGATTCTTTGAACTAGTTTTGTCATTGGCTGCTAGTGCTGCTAGATACCGTTTTCTAAATTCAAACTCATATTTATTGGCTTTTGATAAGCCTTTAACAGTAGTTTAATCGATCCAAACCATTAAATGGGTTATCGAGCACCATTTTACTGCTGATAAAAGTGATCTCTAATCAAGGTCCTAGTCTCGATTTCTCAAGACTAAAATAAATAAATAATTTACATTTGTAAGAGACCGCAGAGTTACTTTTCCAGAAGTGGAATTAAATGTTTCTAAGTTTATCATAGGAATCTAAGGTCCAAGTGTGCTTGTATAGTCTGTATTGTTCAGTCCCTTTTGTGTTTTTGTACCTGAAAATGTGACTTTATTTTGAAAACCAATTTTAATGCATTTTGTATGTAAAATTAACGTTGTCATTGTCTCAGGTTGCTATAAGAGATGAGGATATTGCAGTATATTTCTCCATGGAGGAATTTGAGTATTTGGAAGAACATAAAGATATTTATGACAATGCGAAGTTGGAGATTCATCAACCTCTCCATTCAACGGGTAAGAGGGAGCTATATTTTCACTCATGTTACAGATAGTCACTTTAGGATTTTTATTAGTACTGAAATCCAAAGTGACATTTATGGATTCTGTCTTGGTCCTCCATCTTGGTCCTCCATCTTTGTCCTCCATCTTTTCTTAATAGACTGTAATAAAAAATAAAAAAAAGAGGGGGGGGGAATCAGGCCTGTTCAGCTGCCTACATCCTTTTTTAGAGTATTTTGTTAGTGGGTAGTTTTCCTTTGTCTCTATGCAGTTCTGACTTCTCACAAAGGCAGAACATAAAAGGTTCCAAAACAAGAAATAAAATGTCATTGCTGTTTTTTTCCTTATACTTTTACTTTTTAAATTTAATTTTAGCTTTGTAATTATCCTTGGATCATGTTCCACTAGCCAGTGGCAAGTGAAAATGATGTCTGGTGAGTATACCATAGACTCTCCATGCTTACAGTGGCAAGTGACTTAAAGGGCCTGTCTAGTAGTATAGGACTTAAAATTTAAAGCCGTGCTTGGGACACTTTTTGTCTCTGTGTGTCTCGCGCTCTCTCTCTCGATATAGATATACAGGTATTTGTATTCACATTCACTTCATAAAAAGTTTTATTTATACCCATTTAAGCATAACAACTCACCAAAGTATTGTAATCTGTTTGCAGTGTGACAAATGAGAAACTCTGCAAGCTCAAACCTGTTTTTTCTTTACATTTACATTTTCCATTGACCAACACTTGTGAAAAGATATGTCACTGTCTTTGACCGTAGGCTAAAAACTATAATGCTCATAAGTGTGGTTCGTAGCACGGTGCCAAGCATCCATATGGGGATTCATTATTAACTTGGTAAATCTAGTTCATAACAGACATCATCCTTCTATGTTTCCTTATTAGTGGAAGCGATTACAGACTTCAGGTGGAAGGGGTTTTCAATCACAACTTTTTCCCCACCATAACCTTTTTTGTTTTTGCTTCCCAAGCACTATCAAGCCTCAATAGCAAAACTGTAACCAACCTCATGCTGATGATTTGCATTAACAATGAAACAGCTGTCCATGAGTGGTTCACTGGCTTTGCATCTTTTCCTAAGTTGTCCTTCAAAGCTGTTGTATACAGCAAACACAGACTCAATGGAATCCAGGTTTAAAATGTGATTCTTTGTTCAACTAATTTGCATTTTCCCACCTAGAATTCTTTGCGGTAGTAACATCACTGCAAATTTGTGATTTCTGTGGGGAAAGCAAGTCTTATGGCATGACTGGTGTGCAGATTTTTGTTTAACATTGTATTAACTATATATATGATCTTGATAAAGACCTGCGGGTCGAAACGTCGATTTTGTTTAAACACCGATAAAATCTACTAAAACAAGTCCTCTGGAGTGCTCTTCTCATCATTTTTCTATATATATATATATATTATGCACAAAACCACATGTCTAGATGCCAGATGGTGCTGCCGTTTTTTTTTTTTTTTTTTGTAAAACCTGTTTTTTGTAAATATTCATATGACTCCAACAACTCTAAATTCAGATGTATATTGATGAACGCAATATTCATTTTAAATAGAAAATATGACTTTGTGAACATGCCGTTATCTCTCTGCCAACACCTATACCAATAGAAATCTTAAGTTTATCCATTTTATTTTATTCATATTCCTGCTTTCATGGCGCAGTTTACTAGAATTGTATACAATGACATCAGAATTACATTTTTATTCAGTGTGTTATTTTGAGAGTACTATATGGTGTTTGTGAGAGAAATGCATAGTTTTTAATACATGGACAATCTGTTGGGCTTAGTTTCTATAGACATGTGGAAGGTTCCATTGAGGTTAAATGCTGAATCCAGCCATCATAGGAATTGCATTGTGGGATTGACTAAGCACAGTGGCATGGGTTTTAATTGTTAATTTGTGAACCTGAAATTTTTAGAGAAACAGTCACCATGACTGTTTAAGCAGCATTTGTATTATAAATGCTGCTCAGATTGAGTCTCTAAAAAAAATAAATGACCAGATTTTGCAATTACTATCACGACGTATAGTCAATATATTAATTAGGGTAAAACAGAAGGTAAGGGCAGCACCTAGAATGTCCTTAAGGAGGTATACGTAGCGACAAAAGGAGAAACAGAAGGAACTTGTTACAGATTGGTACCCCCGTTATAAATCTCTCCCAGAACACACACGGCAAATAGTGAACATAGCTCACGCTCTGTCGAGACTTGATGAAGGGTAAAACAACTGATTTTATTGGAAAAATACAGGTTTATATACACAGATCACCAGCATGGGGTCTCTATTCAACACACAGTAAGCTCGCCTAGGCACCTCCTTGTCTGAGAGAAAATTGTGTCAGTTCTCGGTTAAACTTATTATCTCCCGGATACAGAGAGCACAATATAGAAAAACTCCAAAACATGCATAAAATAACATTGTACCCCCACATGTTGTGTATACCTGGATAAGTCTGTTCTGAGTGCCCATTCTTTCAAAAAAGTGCTCGGCTCCATGGGATATGGTCCAAACGCCACAGGGTTAACACCCCCAAAAATAGTTCCATGCAGCAAGTGCCGCATGCAGGTCTTTTAAAAGAAGCTCTACCTGCTCGAGGCAGGGGAGCTCTCTCCTGCTTGTAGGGAGAAATTGGTTGTCCTGATGGTCCATTGGGATTGGTGGCCCTCCCGGTCCATTGGGAAGGGGTTGAAAATAAGGGGCCAATATGATTGGATCGAGGCGCTGAAAGTAGCTGAGCCGGAGTCCCATTGCAAACACAGGTAGCTCCTGCTGGTAGTGTTTGATTAGTCTGACTCTCTGACAGCTGTCAACGGGCAAGGGAAGGGGCGCTGGCTGGGACAAACCTTGTGAAGCGGGGCAAAATGGAGGAAAATAGTCTGGAACGATGAATTATAGTCTTTTGTTGAACAGGTTCTTTACATTGCTCCCCCAGTTCAGTGGCTTGGCATACCCTGCTAGACCCCTATGGGTCAGCTTGGGGATGTCTGAGGAAGAGAAAGTTAGCTTTCCAGTTTGGTTTGTTAGGACAACCAATCTGCATTGGCATTTTGTTTGCCTGGCTGATACTGAATCATAAAGTTGTACAGGTTGGGCTACCTCTCAGTAGTCTGGAGTTGTCCCCGGCTACTCTGAGCCAGATGAGATTGTGGTCCATCATGATGGTGAAAGAGCACTCATACAAGTAGAGCTGTAGCTTCTTGAGCGCCCACACCAGTGCCAAACATAATTTTTTTCCACGGTGGCATAAATGTCTTTTGGGGGAAAAGTTTTCTGCTGAAATATGCCTCCGCCATCCCTACATGACGTTTGTCCGGCCATAAGGTTAATCCAGCTGAACGGATCCTGTCGAGCACGAGCAAGATGTGCTTGAGGTGTGCTTTCCATGTGTGACTGAATATGGCAATGTCATCCAGGTTCGCACATGTGAAGTCCTGAAATATCTCCAGGAGCCGGTCGGCTATCCTTTGAAAAGTAGCCAGTGTTCTTCATCCCAAAAGGCATGACCCTGAATTGATGTTTATCCAAGTGACAAAAACAATGTGTTTAGGTGAGATAACCAAAAAGAGCTAAAGAAGCTTGGAATAAACTAGTACTGTGATTAGACTTATTAACCAGCAGATGTCACCAAAACGAAACTCCCATTACATGTATGGGCAAAAAACAACAACATGAAAACAAATGATAGTGTAGACAGTTTAAATATGTAGTTCCACAAAAGTATATATTACAGCTCAATACAAATATATTTAATGATATATCAACATGGGTATTTATTTTAAAAAGTTCAATAGTTAATCTTTATAAAGTGCAAATCAATTTTTTTATTTTTATTACAATTCAGTGAAATAAAACGAACAAGTGAAATAAAACAAAAGAACACAGTCTCTTACAAGATAGTGTTGTGAGTAGATACAGCATACACCGTTACTCACTGCCAAGCTTGATAAGTAAGGTGCATCCAGTTATGGATTCCGGCGGTCGGGTCGAAATGACTGTTGTGTTTATATTGCGGTCAATTAAATTCCACAGTTCTCCGCTTACAGGACGAGCTCCAGAAACTCCGCACCCCACGTTTGACGTCAACGCGTTTCGCCAGGTGGTGCCGGCTTCCTCAGGACATGATGCCTTTATCTCCATCTTGGAGAAGGGTATTTGAGGACTCAGTCAATCCTATCTAGTTGTTCTGATTGGTGTGTCCGAAAGTGTCTCATTTATATATCGCTATTTCTTTGCAGTGAATCCTTAATCTCAAATCATTTGTAAGATCAGTCTTTGCTTAATAGAATATAATGCATAGTACATATTTTCATAATATTAAGTAAATCATATAAGTTATAAAACCTACCCAGTCGTTTAGTTTGTTGTAGTCAATACAGAAGCAGGTCGTACCGTCCCGCTTCAGTACTAAGACTACCTGCGAAGCCCAGGGGCTTTGGGAAGGTTCTATTACTCTTTTTGGGGGGTTTTTTTAATTGCAAATTTGTCAAATGCATTGCTTCATAGGCTGGCACTGAAACAAGTTTTGCTTTACATTATATAAAAAAAATAATTATTATATCAAGAGTTTCTGTAGAAAACACAATAAGACCCCCAGAGACCATATTAGTCAGTACCTTGCATGCAATGTTAATGCATATACAATTATTATTGATTTTTTTTTTTTTTTTGTATAAATTACAAAACAAAAAACACTCAAACAAGAAACATATAAAACCTAAAGAAACATACATTTGGGAGATGTCTAAATAATACTAAATTGAGGTAATACACAGATTCACAAAAACATACACCTTAATAATAAAGTGCTTTATTACAGCGAGAAGTAAAACAGGAGAGAGGAAGAGGGGACCCATAGGGAATGTAGGCCTATATCCCATCAATTTACCTCCTCTATTATATTGATCTTGCCACTGTCCCCATGCTCGGGTAAATTTATCCATCGTACCTGTGGCGAAACCAACCTCGCCACTGTACATTGGAGAAGCCTGGTTGCTCGCCTGCTCCCTTTAGACTATGGCCCTGCAGTTCAGACCTGTTATTTTCCCTGCTGAAAGGTTTATTCATGCCTTTCTGCCAGGGTGTTCGGTAGCTACAAACTACCGAACGATGGACCACCTGGAAGCTGGAGTGTGCCGTCAATTGACCACCCAGAAGCTGCGGTTAACCACAGCTTAATTGATGAACGCTGGGAGGCCTTTGTTCGGTTGCCGAACACGTGGCAGCGGCCATTTTATCTCCCGAACGGCCAGCGGTGTTCAGCGCCTAAACTATGGAACTGAAAACGGACACTTAATTGCGCGAACACCGCTGAGCCGCCAGCCTCCTTCCCTTCCCATTCGAGAGCGGAACCGAATGACTGTTCATTCGGTAGTGTAACCGGATGAACAGCATCACCCAGATAGCTAAGCCATGGAGCCTGTTCATGTAACGAAAAGACTATGTGAAGGACTTTGGCTCCATGGCGATTGAACTGTATGTATGTGATCTGAGCGCCATTCTGGGGATATGTAGAACGTATATGTTTTATGTACTGAATGTAACTGTAGGTAATTTTATGTCTTTTACTGTTTTACTGCCATGTGGTTAATGGAGTTTTTCCTCTGTCTTTGGAGATAATTGGATTACTTCCCAATTATCTCCAAGGCAGAAAGGAGGGATTGTGATGCATTGTGGAATGGTTAAAATGTGTAAGTCTGTGATTGGTCCTTTTACCTTTTGTGTCCCAGTCTCCCACTTGGTCCCCTACGGGAGTGTCCACCAGGTGGGAGACCTGCATAAAAGCCGGAGAGTTAGCCCCAGTAAAAGAGTTCCTGCTTAACCCTCAAAGTGAAGTGTCGTCTCATTATTGGGGGAGGATTTATTGTATGCTGTTAGAGACTGATTGCCAGGAGTGTAAGCCGCTTGGGGGCTTTTCCTGTTCGTCTGCTAGCAGCTATTCGTGTGTCTCCAGTTCGGGAGTTTGGAGTGCTACTTGGTATGCAGTTCGGGAGTTGGTGAATTCGTGGGTTTGCAGTTTGGGAGATTGGTGCTTGCAGTAGTTGTCTGTGCAGCTGAAAAGGGGGAATATCGCCTAAACGGTTTTTATCCTCTTGTGGGCAAAACAGTCCGTTACAGTACCCATGATTTTAAGTGCCATTTCCTTGTATCTTTTGGTACGGTTTATTTTCTCTGTAACGTAATCTCAAAACAGGGAAGGAGTGGGGAGAACGTGTTGACGTGAGGTGGGCGTGTCGAGGTTGCGTCAGGGAAGGAGGAGGCCAGCCACGAGAACGCCAGCAAGTGAAAGTAGCATGGTGTTAAACAACAAATTAGAAAGCAGCGTATGATTCAACAGAGAGGTGAAAGTCACTTACAGGTTTTTTTAGAGTCTCAGGTTTCCGAAAAGAGCGATATCAGAGTGCCGAGGAGAGAGAGGGAACACTTTCTTTTTGCTTATTATATTATTATATTTTATCCATCAAGAGAATAGCCAGTTACCTACCAAGAATCAAGAGGTAAGGATATATGTAAATACTGGTGAAGGTAATTTGGTGTGTATATACATTAGTTGATTTGTTGGTTGAGCTGTTGGCTGCAAATAAATATTGAGTAAATATTTAGTTTTTACTGGACAATTTACAACTGATGGCTAGATAAAGAGATATATCTGTCAAGTAATCACTAGCAGCAGTGCCACCCGATGCTTCATAGCTTCCCAGAAGTGCCGAAAGTGCTCCACAAGTCACTGTAAGAATCGCTCTATGGAGCAACAGGGGGACAGTCCTGATTGTGTATCGTCTCGAGCAAGACGCCGCCGCCATTTTGTTTCAGGTAGCTTGCTTCGAGTGAGTTGCCAGTTAGGCCTGTAGATTGCGTCTAGGAATTCTCTGCCAGAAGAAGTGGTTTTATCAGAGTCCATACAGATGTTCAAACCGCTACGAGATGCATACTTGCAAAAACAGAATATTCATGGATATAATCTTTCAATGTAGGGTAATAACTGCTTGATCCAAGGGTAAATCTGACTGCCATTCTGGGGTCAAGAAGGATTTACTTTCCTAGCTTGTTGCTTCAAACTGGGTTTTTTTGCCTTCTTTTGGATTAACAGCAAAAAACAAATGTGAGGAATGCTGAACTTGATGGACACAAGTCTCCTTTCAGCTATGTAACTATGTAAAAGTGGCACATTTCAAAACATATTATTAGCATCTTACACTTGAGAATCACAAAATAAATTATTTTATAACACTTTTAAAGTTATTATATATTAATGGGTTAGGATAGTGATTGGGCATCACAGAATGAATACAGAGGAATATAGAAATTGTCTTTCAATATAACTATGATCAAAGGCATAATCAATTTTGATGAATTACCTTTTTGGTATAACTTTCAAATATAATGGGAAGTACAGGAAATTGAAAATGGCATCACATATATTGTCTTTAATGATAATTTTAGCCTAATTTTCCTTCCTGTTAATTTGATAGGAAATACAAGGGACCCTATCGGAATGAAACAGGTCCCTTGTATTATTAATTTATTTATTTTCTTCTCCTTTTCCTCTCTTCTTTATGTCTTAATAGAGAAGGTAAATGATAGAGAGAAAATGGAAGTATGATAAATATTCTTTAGATACTTCTCTTTATGACGATGAGCAATCCAAGCCACAACATAAATATTCTGGCTGGGCTTCTCTATCATTTGATAATTCAATAAATAACATATAGATAGGCGTATACCTACACTTGAACCTCCCATATAAAAGGACAATTGTGGTTTGTTTTTTTTTGGTTTTTTTTATCCTTTCCTGTTTGGCTGGGAAGTTCAAGTTCATTGAATGCATTGATTTGATTTTTTGCTGGCATAATCCTAAAACATAACCGCTTACGAGATTATTCTTTTTTTTTTTTTTGGTCTTGTAGGTAGTAGGCAAATACTTTCAAAGGGGGAAAACTTTGTTTCCCCCCTGGAGACCATAGGGAGGCGTTTATCAGGCCCTGGGGAGATAGCACAGCTAAGCGGACAAGGGCACATGTAGGAGTGTGGGGATAGATGCATGGGATTGGTTTAAAAGAGTGTGTGGGTGGGATTATGTTCTGTGTAAGTTAGTGTGGGGGAGGTCTTACCTCAGTGCCATTTGGGATTCGGGCCAGCAAACAGCTTCCTGTCCTGCAGCTCCTGTTTGCCTGGGCCTGCAGATTTACACAGCTTGAGGGATGGAGGTTGAGGCTTTCTGGCTTCCCTCAGAGCTGCTGCAGCGTGGATAGTGGCCAGCGACTCCTGATTCAGGTGATATCCTCTCCTGGATCCTCTCCCCTGGGTGGCTGCCGGTGTGGGTGCTCCCCCCTGCGGCCTGTCTCCATCTGGGGCCTTCCCTGTGGCCCCTGCTCCCCTCTCCCATGATGGCTGCCGGTGTGGGTGCAACCCCCCCGCAGCCTGGGCCCTTCTGGGGCCTTCCCTGTGGCCCCTGCTCCTGGGGGCCGGCATTAGGGGGGGCACAGGTTCATTTGAGGGTACCCTGTCACTCCTCCCCGGGCCCGGTTGAGGTGGGAGCCTGGGCCTGAGGCATCACCAGGCCTGCGTGTCTGGGGGCTCCAGACACGCGGCCTGCAACTTTCCTGAGGATCCGCGGCCTTCATGGGCTGTGCGCGGAATCACGGCCTACCCGGCCTGCAACAACGGCTGGGGGCAGTGGTAGGCTGGCCGCACGTTCCCGACGGCGTGCGGCCGCCTGGCGGTCGTTTCTAATCCCCCTGTGGCTCGTGGGATGGTGGGGCTGTGTGAAGGGCCCCCAACGGTGAGGAGGCCCGGTGGGGCCGCGCGGGTTACTCCAGCACCCCACTGTTCGTGACCAGGGGGCCCTCTAGTGGTCCGGGAGCCTCCTCTGCCGGTGAGGTAGGCTCCCTTTCATCTCTCTCCCCTGTCCTCCCCCCCCCATGTCGCTTCGTTCCATGGGTCCCCCTGGTGTCTGTTGGGGGGCCCGGCTTGATCGGGGAGCCCCCTCTGGCTCCTTCCGCTTTCTGCCCCTACCCCCACCTGCTGGGTCCTTCTCCCCCCCCCAGTTTCTTTTCCCTCCTTGGTTGGCTCCTTGTTCCTGGAGGGTCCCCCTCTGCTCTCCTCTCCTTCCCCTGCTCTCTCTCTCTGGGTGGATCTTGTCCCCCCCCTCGTCCCTCTCCCGACCCCCCCCCTGTGTGTCCCTGTTCTATGTGCCCCTTCCTCTATGTGTCCCTTCCTCTATGTGTCTCCCTACTCTGGCTGTATGGTCCCCTTTTCTATGTGTGTGTGTGTATCTATTCTGTGTGTGTGTGTCCCTATTCTATGTGTGTGTGTCCCTATTCTGTGTGTGTGTCCCAGAGGCTAGGCAGTGGTTGGGGGGCCAGTGAAGTGGGGTCCTCGTGTCGTTCTAGCACGAGGGCTCGGGTTGCCCATCCTGTCTCCCACGTTTTCATGCAGGCGTTCTGTCGGGATAAGGGACATGGGTGCTCTACATGCAGGCTCTCTTCGGTCCATATGAGAATTCCATCAGGTGGTGCGGGAGCTGCTTACCATTTAAACCTTAATCGGTAGTTTCCTCCCGAACAGCCAGAGCCCAGTGAATATAGCCCTCCGTTCGGTAGTTATAGTAGACGAATTCCCAATTGTAAATCCAATAGTGTTCCTGGATAATTCCCACAGTAAAACACACGAACTCCCAAACAGCATACGTAGTCAGAATAAGGGTACAAAGATGAACTGTTTATTGGCACACAAAGAACCTTCTTTTATGCAGGTCCCCATGCAAAGGGACATCCCACAGGGTGGGACACAGTACAACCAATCACACAATGGTTACATCCCACACATCCCCTCCCCTTAGCCTGAGAGGTAACCCAATTATCAATACATTTTAAAACACACTTTTTACCCAACTTTCATAACTCCAAAACCATACATCCAATATTAATCAGCACATCCCAAATACAAACATACCCAAAAATCATGCAAATCCTTCCATTAGTTCAAAAGTTAGTTAGAAGTCCTTTGTGACCCAAAGGAAGCATGGCTTTTCTGCCCAAACCAGTTCCCACTGGTCTGGCAGTGTCCCTGGGACAACTCCCTGCTTGAGAACAATAGACAGGAAACGGGGGAGGGGAAGAAACACACCTTCCCGTGGATTTCAATGGGGAAGAAACTGTCTTTAGAAGCCAATAAGCCCCAAAGTTTGGATGTATAAAGGGGTGACAGGGTGGTCTGCATTCGGTAGTTTTACCTACCGAATGCCATAGGGAAACATTGCTATTAACACAAATACAAAGAGGGCATACACAGTTAAAAAAAAAAAAGGCATTTCTTCACATACCATTCCTTTTATTAATTTTGTAGCCCGCATCTGCACTTTTTCTAGTGCCATAATATACTTCTTTAGAACAGGTGCCCAAAATTGCACAGCATATTCAATATGTGGTCTTACCAGTGATTTATAAAGAGGCACAATTATATTCTTGTCTCGAGAATGAATGCCCTTTTTCATGCATGACAATACCTTATTGGCCTTGGCCACTGCTGATTGACATTGCACATTGTTGCATAGTTTGTTGTCTATAACAATTCCCAAGTCCTTTTCATGTGTTGTTATCCCTAATTCGCTTCCATTAAGGGTATACGTTGCTTGTGTATTCTTTACGCCGAAGTGCATAACTTTGCATTTTTCAACATTAAATTTCATCTGCCATTTGAGTGCCCAGTCCCCCAGTCTATCTAAATCCCTCTTCAGCAAAGTAATATATTGCTCACGTATTATTTTACAGAGTTTTGTGTCATCTGCAAACATTGAATATGAATTCTTCAAGATAATTTATAAACCTGTTAGGGAGTCCCAGAACAGACCCCTGAGGGACACCACTTGCCACCTCTGTCCAGCTTGAAAATTTACCATTAACAACAACTCTTTGTACTCTATTTTTAAGCCAATGTTCTACCCAAGAAAAAGTATTTTCATCTAGACCAATTTCCTTCAGTTTGAACACTAATCTATTGTGTGGAACTGTATCAAATGCCTTGGCAAAATCCAAATAGATCACATCCACGGCAACACCCTGATCTATACTTCTAATTACTTCTTCGTAGAACGCAATCAAGTTAGTTTGACATGACCTGTGCTTCATAAAATCATGCCGATTTTTGCTGATAACCATGTTCTTCTCAAGGAATTCTTGAATATTATCCCTTGATAACCTTTCAAATATTTTCCCAGCCACAGAAGTTAAGCTCACAGGTCTATAATTTCCAGGCAAGGATTTTGAACCCTTTTTGAATATCTGCCTTCCTCCAATCCTCGAACACTTCCTGAAAGAAAAGAATCTTGAAAGATTAAAAACAGAGGTTCACTTATTTTTACACTTAGTTCCTTAAGTACTCGCGGATGGATACTGTCAGGCCCTGGAGCTTTGTTTATATTAACTTTCTTTAGTTGCTGCAGCACCTTGTCTTGAGTTAACCTATTACAATTATTCTGCAAGTTTTTAGTATCAATCATTTGCACATCTATTGCCATGGGTTTTATTATATAATCACTGAATTTTTATTTAAAAAAAATAAATATTTTATTAATGACACTGAGGTGAGTATATCGTTCGCCTTCTGTATTTTCTTGAGCAGCAAAGACAGAATGTAGAAAAAGAATATAAAATAATTAAAACGTAAAGTAGTGTGGGGCAGGGGAGGGCTGGAATCATTAGGCCTGGGGGGCAAATCCAGTCAAGTGGCCCATTGCACCACCAAATCAGCTCACCATCCATGCAAACCTTTTCCTGGTTTAATAAAGGATATTGATGTTATGCTAATCAATAGCTCTTTTCCATACCCAATCTGCGGTGCCATTACGCAGCGGCACTCTGACCTTTCTGAAACTGTTTCAGAAGCTGGTTCCTGCTGGGGGACCTGCAGATCTAGGATTAGATTAAATTGATATGGTAAACGGTGTTCCTTTAAAAATAAACAATAGGTCTACATCTCACATAATTAAAAAATTGAATACATAGGTTTTTTTTATTTTTATTTTGCATGGGATGATGAGAAGGTAGAAAGTCATTGACTCCTTCTGCTCTCCCTTCCTTTCCTTTTGCTCTCCTACTGCTCTGCTTTCCCCTCCTTTCCCTTTGCTCTCCTTCTGCTTCCCCTCTTTTCATTTTGCTCTCCTTGAGCTTTCCCCCCTTACCTTTTTCTTTCCCCTTCTTTCCTTTTGCTCGCCTGTTTTTCCCTCCTTTCCTTTTGCTCTCCTTCTGCTTTTCCCTTCTTTCTTTTTGCTCTCCTTCTGCTTTTCCCTCCTTTCCTTTTGCTCTCTTTCTGCTTTTCCCTCCTTTCCTTTTGCTCGCCTGTTTTTTCCCTCCTTTCCCTTTGCTCTCCTTCTGCTTCCCCTCTTTTCATTTTGCTCTCCTTGAGCTTTCCCCCTGACCTTTTTCTTTCCCCTTCTTTCCTTTTGCTCGCCTGTTTTTCCCTCCTTTCCTTTTGCTCTCCTTCTGCTTTTCCCTTCTTTCTTTTTGCTCTCCTTCTGCTTTTCCCTCCTTTCCTTTTGCTCTCTTTCTGCTTTTCCCTCCTTTCCTTTTGCTCTCCTTCTGCTTTTCCCTCCTTTCCTTTTGCTCTCTTTCTGCTTTTCCCTCCTTTCCTTTTGCTCGCCTGTTTTTCCCTCCTTTCCTTTTGCTCTCCTTCTGCTTTTCCCTCCTTTCCTTTTGCTCGCCTGTTTTTCCCTCCTTTCTTTTTGCTCTCCTTCTGCTTTTCCCTCCTTTCCTTTTGCTCTCTTTCTGCTTTTCCCTCCTTTCCTTTTGCTCTCTTTCTGCTTTTCCCTCCTTTCCTTTTGCTCTCCTTCTGCTTTCCCCTCCCCTCTCCCTCCTTTTGCTCTCCTTCTGCTTCCCCCTTTCATTCCTTTTGCTGTCCCCTCCTTTCCTTTTTTCTCTCTTCTGCTCTCCTTTTGCTCTGCTCTCCTCTGTTTTTGCTCTCTTTCTGCTCTGGTCTCCTTTACTTCTACTCTCCTTTTGCTCTGCTCTGGTCTCCTTTACTTCTACTCTCCTTTTGGTCTGCTCTGGTCTTTCCTTCTACTCTCCTTTTGCTCTGCTTTGGTCTCCTCTCCTTTTGCTCTGCTTTGGTCTCCTCTCCTTTTGCTCTGCTTTGGTCTCCTCTCCTTTTGCCCTGCTTTGGTCTCCTCTCCTTTTGCTCTGCTCTCCTCTCCTTTTGCTCTGCTTTCCTCTCCTTTCCTTCTCCTCTCCTTTTGCTCTGCTCTCCTTTTCTTCTCCTCTCCTTCTGCTCTCCTTTTCTTTCCTTCAGCTAGTCTACTTCTCTCTTTTTCTTTTCTCCTTCTTCTGGGCACCGCAGGGAGGGGTTGTGTTGCGGTGTGACATCATACTCTGCAATTAGCTGGCAATCGGCACTATCCGTGTATCAACAAGACGCGGATTGGCAAATTGCCAGAAGATTTAGCATGCAGAAGGAGGGGACTGCAGCATGGATGGACCCCATGTGAGGGGTTTCATGTTGTATTAGTAGCGCAGTGGCATGGAAGGCTTACATTATATTTTTGTATTGGGAAAGACTGCTGGCAGTAAGTTAATATTGGTGAAACACTGCAGCTTTACATTACTAAATTTAGGCGGCCGTAAGGCCCATTTTAATGCGACGGCTGCCTAAATCGCCTAATTAGAGAGCCGCCTCTGGCCAAGAGATCCTGTCTCTGCCTCTGTGGCAAGCAAGCATGATATAGGGCGGCCTCAGTGCCATCTTAACAGCATTATGGGCCCCCGGGCAAAGCAGTGCACTTGGGCCATGCCTACACAACAACTCATAGGAATAAAAATTAAAATTATCGATAAAGTTAAGCTTATATATTGGTGCCTCCAACAAATGCAATACGCACACACCGACTGCTGAATACGCACACACCGACTGCTGAATACGCACACACCGACTGCTGAGTACACACAGACAGACTGCTAAATACATACACAGTCCGCTGAATACTCACAAACACACACAGAGACTGCTGAATACACCCAGACTGCACACTTTGTGTGTAGGGGTGCAGTGTGTGTGTGGGGTGACGTGTACGAGGGTTGATGTGTGTGTTGTGTAAAAGGGGTGCTGTGTGTGTGTGGAAGGTGCTGTAAGTGAGGGGTGTGTGAAGTGCTGTGGGTGGTGTTTGTGTGTTGCATGTGGGAGGGTGCCTGGAGCAAATGTTTTCTTTTTTTTTCTTTTTTATTCTAAATGATTTTTAACATCTAAATGTACGTAAAAAAAAAAACTGCATGCCCTGGTGGTCCAGTGGTGCTCTATATAGCCTGCAGCTTCTCTGGCTGCAGGAGGTCTTCATTCCTCCCGAGCTGAGCGCCAATGCATCGCTCCACACAGCATGCTCGCGGGAGGAGCGACCTGCCTCTGGGTCCTCCCGCCCTCTCTCTCCCCTCTCTGGAAGGGCCTTTGGGCCAGTGAGGGAGCTCTTTGAAATCCCCACCGGCCAGAGAGGACCCACGGCAAGTGAGCTGGGCCGGCAGGAGAGATCAACTGCCCTGCATCCATATGCTAAAAGATGGCCCCGGGTGGCAATTGCCCGCCCCTAGTGTGGGGAGAAAGGAATGTATGGCTACAAGTATTAGGCTTGGTCTAAAGTGGTACACTTTTGGGAACAAATCCGAGGTATTTTGAAGAAACTTCTAGATGTGTGGTCCTTTTTTATTATCTAATTCTCTCCCTCTCCCAATCAGAAATTATTCAATAAAATTACTCTTGCACACCCCAAGGTTTAGTTTGAAAAAGCCACAGCATGTAATGAGCAAATGAAAAGCGCAATGGACCTGCGCCCTAAGCACCAAGTTGCAGAAAATAACTTATCAATTGACGCACCCCAAATGTCTTATTCAATGTACATGTCATGCATGTTTGTGAATAAAAATTGCTTAATAATAAAATTTTTTAAAAATTACTCTTGCAGATAAAGGAGCTTTGGCTCAAGGCTGGTTGGAGGATACTGTACCTCTAGAAGATATAGTCCTTCTAAAGATGAAAGATAATTACGTCATGGATAACTTAGCGACTCTGAGATTAGTACCAATTAGATGGCTTTTGAAGAGTCTTACATCGACCCTCTTAACGGCTTTAGAGAAGGAGTAGGCAATTTTTGACACTCCGAATGTTGTAGACTACATCTCCCATGATGCTCTTACAGCCACAATGCTAGCAAAGCATCAAGGGAGATGTAGTCCACAAAATCTGGAGTTACAAAGATTGTCTACCCATGCTTTAGAGGCTCTCTCTAGTTAAAGGACCACTATAGTGCCAGGAAAACATACTCGTTTTCCTGGCACTATAGTGCCCTGAGGGTGCCCCCACCCGCCCGGCTCTGGAAAGGGGAAAAGGAGTTAAACTTACCTTTTTCCAGCGCTGGGCGGGGAGCTCTCCTCCTCCGATCCTCCTCCGTTCCTCCTCCTGGGCTGAATGCGCACACGCGGCAAGAGCTGCGCGCGCATTCAGCCGGTCACATAGGAAAGCATTCATAATGCTTTCCTATGGACGCTGGCGTGCTCTCACTGTGAAAATCACAGTGAGAAGCACGCAATCGCCTCTAGTGGCTGTCAATGAGACAGCCACTAGAGGATTAGGGGGAAGGCTTAGCCCATTGATAAACATAGCAGTTTCTCTGAAACTGCTATGTTTATGAAAAAATGGGTTAACCCTAGCTGGACCTGGAACCCAGACCACTTCATTAAGCTGAAGTGGTCTGGGTGCCTAGAGTGGTCCTTTAACCACCTTTTGAGGAAATAACCTCTGTGACAAACCCATCCCTAACCAGGGTTTCTCAGGGGGAACCCCTCATTGATCCAGATGAAATACACCATCTGCATTTTGCAGAGTGGTCACCATGAGAGCATTCTCATCACACAAGATGCAATTAGCTCATGGCAAAATATCACATTCTTGATATTAAAGCTAGAGAGGGGCTAGAATTTTCAAAGAACCAGGCCTCTGAAGAAAGTATGGTTTTCAGGTATTCATTTGTAAAAGACCTAGAACTTTACTGCCTTTGACAAAGTACAGAGTAATATGCAAAAATAGTTTTTGCCCAAGCATTTTGAAAGGGCTGGAAAAGCAAGGAGCAGTCGGTCCGGTTGCAGTACATAAAGCTTGAGACATAATTAAGACTCCTTCCCTGCACAAAGGTTAACCTTGCTCTTTTCCCAATCCAGCGTTATATCCCTTGTTTGTTCCCAACAGGTCAGCGACCCCATTGCCGAGGAGATTTTATATCTCACAAACAATGAAGCGATTTAGCGATTTGGCATAATCAAGTGTTATTTTTTTTTCCTGATTCCCAAGAAGGGAGGCTGAGATAGTTAGCTGATCAATCTCATCACATATTCAGATGACATTCTGATTAAGTCCCAAAGTGTTTAGCTTTTTCAAATCCAATTCTCCTGAACCCTGCATCTGTTACAGAACCTGGGTTTCCTCATAAATTGGGAGAAGTAGATCAGGCTCTCATTAAGTCTCATCTCATCACAGACCGTGCACTTACCTTCAAGCAAACCAAAATCTATCAAAAAGGAGATTAGACACGTACTGTCCCATGATCATCTCACTCTCAAACACCAAGCCCAAATTATCGAATTACTGGAAGCTATCATCCATGCCATTTTCCTGGTCCCATCCAATATTGAGCTTTTCAGCTCCTGAAAAGACAAATCATACTAAAAAGATGTCCTTTTTTATGAAGAACAATTCACGTTAGATGTGGAACCTAAGGATAAGCTACACTCGTTGCTCCATCACATGGCAGATAAACAACACAGTTATATTCAGAGTGGTTTCAGACCTGGTCAAAGAGTCAGACGAGAGCACTTACAGTTGGGGAGTGCAATGCAGGAACATTTCTACAGGCGGAGGGTGGTTCGACAAGGAGTAATCTTTTCACATCAATTGACTAGAACCATTAGCCAGGTCCTTTGCCATTTGCAGTCTTTCCCTCAAGGGATCACAATGTTTCATATTGTTGAAGATGGAGAATGTCTCTGCAATCCAAGGTTTTCATAAATCTAGTTCTAGATAATTTGCACTACTGCCTTCAAAACAGCAATTCAATCATAGTGGAACATGTACCAGGACTGTCCAACACAACAGAAGATTAGAATCCCAAACACCTCAGGGACTCCGGAGATTGGTGGCTTAAAGGCTCAGTATTTTTTTAAGATCGTCAATCTTTGGGGCCTTTGCATCTCCTTTAAGTGCATGGTTCCCCAGATTTTTTTAGATGGAGATCTAGAAATCTTAGCAGTAAAGACTGTTTTACAAGATGGTTTTTGAACAGACAGTATGCATTTCTGTCATTTGTTCTACTATCACATAACTCAACTAAGTTGTCATAGCTTAGCTCTTGTATTAAAGATCCCCTTTTGCCTGTTTCAGTTGTGGTTTACTCTTTTTTAAATGTTTTTCCTTGATTGCTTCCATCCTTCGACACTCTCCTCTTGGATCTGGAAAGGGACCTTCATGTATTGATCTGTCATGGCCTCCTAGGATTGCTGGTTTGGTTGATTTAAGGGAACTCTGGACAACTTTTTAGCTTCTTGCAGTCACATTGCCACTAGGAATAAGACGATATTTCACTGCTTGGAATGTATGGACTTGTTTGTGTGGACAGTTATCATTTATTGGTTCTTTTAGATTAGATTTTTTATTTTTATCTCAATTTTTGATTCAGGTTGTGCCTTATAACCAACATAGGAATGCAATTTCAGCCAGACATAAGTGTTTGTACCCAGTTGGATGTCATCCTTTTGTCTGTCTTCTGCTTAAAGGTATTTCTTTTTTTAGGCATCCTAGACATAAATACATGGCCTTGTGTGATGTCAATCTTGTCCACTGTCACCTAAGTATTGATCAGATTATGCCAAACTTTGAAACAACTTTAAGTCAAACTGGTTATGCTTTTTTGCTTAATTACCAGCAAGAAATTGTCAGATTGTTCATGCAATGGACAATGATGCTCGCTCATTTTCCCCAGAAGGTATTTGGAATAGTGCGCATGTAACTTTTAAAATATATATAGATCCAATATAGAATGGCTGCTCACCGATCTTTTAAAATGTAGATTCTTTATTAGATAAAGTTTAAAATAATGACCAACATTTCAGTCCCAGCTTGGGACCTCCCTCAGGGTCAAATAACAGGACAACCATGGGTTGGTTGTCGTGTTATTTGAATCAGACATATCGGTGCTTTAGCTCTCTTCCATCATCTAGCTGATTCTGCCCAACTAGGGTTTCTCTTGCTCGTTGCTGCCTGCCATATTTGACAGATATAGCCTTGTCCACTGTTCTAGAAGCATGTTTAGATTTGGCTACAGCCTTACTTACACCAGTAAGTTTAGGCTTGGGGTAAATAGGAGGGACAACCACATGGGTGGCAGGCTAGGTGTGCCTAGAATAGAACATGTATAATAAAATCAGAAATGAAGGTGGGCGTGGCATCCATGGCAGAGGGCCTGTGTTTTCTGCTTGTGGCCGAATGTTTGGCAAATACAAGGAATACCCACCTGTTGTTGTATATACTTAAAGGACCACTATAGGCACCCAGACCACTTCAGCTTAATGAGGTGGTCTGGGTGCCTGGTCCAGCTAGGTTTAATCCTTTTTTTCTATAAACATATCAGTTCTATAAATGGGTTAATCCAGCCTCTAGTGGCTGTCTCATTGACAGCCGCTAGAGGGCTTCCACGCTTCTCACTGTGATTTTCACAGTGAGAAGACGCAAGCGTCCATAGGAAAGCATTGTGAATGCTTTCCTATGGACTTGCTGAATGCGCGCGTGGCTCCTGCCGCGCATGCGCATTCAGCCGGAGAGCAGGTATTCACACAGTATTAAGGGTCCTAAATACTTTTAGCAATGAAAGAGGAGGAGGATGGACTATATCAGACATTTATACCCTTTCGTCTTATGTGATTTGTTGTTATATTACTATGCTACCTGGTGTTTTAACTATTTCATGTTCTTTTTCTACATCCTGTTTTAGGGAAATGAAGAGAAAAGTCTTTGATAATTTCACAGTGTACTTTATTAAGCCTATAGAAATGAGAAAATACCAGTTAGCAATCTCTTGAGGTATACTTCATACCATTCATGAGAAAAAGCAACAAAATACCTTTGTAAAGTTAAACAAGCTTTAACTCCTTCAGATAATTAGGATGGGTCATTACATTACTTGACTTTAACACCGTTGGAGATTATGATGACTTGTAGCTGAGATGACACAATAAATGTCCTTTTATTGGAATTTATATAGTTCAATTAATCTTCATTTCTCATCATACTGCACTTAAACACCCATTAGAAGCATCCACAACTACACTAATATACACCTTGACTCTGTGTCTCCCCGTATATACCCATTGTTTTTATTTTATTTTATTTTTTTTTAAACTCTTGTCATATAGGTGATGTGATTTACCATATTGTCACATTGTATGCTATATTATTGAGGAACAAAATCTGTACATATTTGATACATTCTGTATAGCTCAAGATTTTTGTAATTGTGTTTTTCTAATTACACCATGTACTTTTTTTATAAAATATTATTCTATAAAATAATAAACAAACTGTAAATGCTTTTTTTTTTTTTTTTTAAAGTATGGTTTTGAAAAGATAAATACTATTAATGATTATTGATTAGATTCTCTGCCTGCTAATGATCATATGATTTTATTTGTTGTTAGTTGGTTTCCAGTCTATGTATTGAAACATTAATTGGTCTCTTTATTTCCTGTAGACCGAACAATGACCTGTAGGGGATCAGAAGAACTGCACACTCCTGCTCCTGCCCCATATAAGGATACAGTTCTTGAACCTGTTAAAGAATCCATGTACATAAAACAGAGTGACTCAAAAAGCAAGCAGGTCAGAAATGTGGCAGAGGAATCTACTTTATCTGAAGAAAGATATCTTACAGACACCAACGTTTATACTGACACAGAATATTCACTCGTGAATTATAGAACTGTTTATATTAAAGAGGAATCAGACTCTAATGAAGACCTAGATCTCAATGAAATGAACTTCACTAATCCCATAGGACATACACAGACACACTATACATCTTGCCCCAACAAATATATACCCACAGAACATACAACTCTACATACTACGCAGAAACTGTCGCATGAAGACGGTCTCACAGATGTTCATATATACACACCAAGAGAAAATACACAGACAAACTATGTGTCTTCTCATGTTAATTTAACCTTCACTAAAGAAGAACATTTTGAAAACCACATTTGCACACAAACAGAGTGTATAAATACTGATGATTATTATTACACAGAACAAGTCAAAGGAAACTGCATTACACAAAATGCCAGCAAGCATTTCTCGGAAATCAAATGCAATGAATGTGGCAAAATATTTACTACAGTGTCTGCTTTTTTATCTCACCAGCAAACACACACTACTCAGAGGATGTACAATTGCTCTGAGTGTCATCAATATTTTATTAGCAAGTCAGATCTTGCTAAACATCGGCTAGTTCATAAAGAAAAAAAACTTACCTGTTCAGTTTGTGGGAAGCACTTTTCTTACAAATCTTATCTTGTTATCCATCAGCGTATCCACACAGGAGAAAAGCCTTTCTCCTGCTCGGTGTGTGGGAAGTGTTTTACATGTAGCTCCCATCTTGTTACCCATCAGAGGATTCACACAGGAGAAAAACCATTTTCTTGCCCCATATGTGGGAAGTGTTTTAGCCGTAGATCAGACCTTGTTAAGCATAACCGAATACATACTGGAGAAAAACCATTTTCGTGTTCTGAATGTGGGAAATGTTTTACTCGGAGCTCCCATCTTATTTCACATCTCAGGATTCACAATGTGCAGTAATCATTGTAAACGTAATTAGGCATTGGATAAGTCATACAAGTGATTATCTGGAAAAAAAAAAAACTGCAGTGAATTTGTACTTTTGTATTTTTCATGATAATCTAAAGGGACACAATGAAGTTGTTATGGTGAGAGGAGGTCCCGGCACAGGCTTATCTGAATTGATAAAACTGTCAGGCCCACCAGGCTAAATCAGTCTGTCCCAGCGCTTCCACTCAATATCTGAGACTTCAGTCAAGAAGCCTTGAACTGGGTGTAGCTGAAGAACTTAACCTTTTTAAAATGGGGAGCTACTGCTAGCATAAGCTGGCACTTTCAATGTTTTCTTTTTAAGTTTGCAAAGCTTTCAAAAATATGTTTGTTATTATGGGGTATTGAGTGTAGATTGATATGAAAAAATGTAAACAATTGAATACTTTCTGAATGCACCGTATGTGCTAAGTATATGCATCATGAATTTAGTTTAGGTAGCTGCAGGTTTTTTTTTAATTAAATATGCAATTTGCTTAAAGAAACACTCCAAGCTTGTTGTAATTATGATGCCAGGAGTGCCCTAGCAGTGTAAGTAGTCAAACTATTTTATGATGGCTTGTGTACAGTCTTAGTTAATTTCAATTTACTTTAAGGTTAATCGTCACATTTATAAAATTAAGCTTCTATTGCCTTAAATAATGGTTTAATTATATTTCTTGATATATCAAAGCTGTATCAATAACTGCATACTTCAATCTGCATTCACACATACTATGCTTGCTTTTTCCCTGAGGGTAGCATGTACAGAGAGTAATAAAACTTGGTGTACGCCGTGTGTCGGGCTCTTGAGGCTGTTATTGTATCGTTTTCACTGTATTTACGTATTTTCAATGTTCTCATTAAACCATGTTTCCCCGTGGGTATATGTCCATCCATTTGGTCCAAAGTTTCCTATAAAGTTCAATTTTACTTGCATTTTTCTAAAAGCCTTCCTCCATTTGGAGCTGGTAATTAATCTGTGAGGCAATTTTTCCGTTTCTGGCTATTATAAGTTTAGTTGCAAGTAAAATATGAGATAGTAAAATTTTCATTTCAATATTACAATTTGAAAAAAAAAGTGGAAGAAAAACAGTTTTGGGGAGATATTGCTTGTGTTCGTATTCCCAAGTCAATACGTATATTTTTATTTCATTTACACTTGTACACTCCCACAACATATGGAATAATGTTCCTATATTTCTTGAACATCTCCAACAAACTGAGTAATTGTGCCTGAATTTTTTAATTATATGTGGGGTAAGATATCATCTGTGTGTAATCTTGAAAAAGGTTTTATGTAAGGTTAAACTATGATACACTTGTTTGATAGTATGGAAAGCCCTGCCCCATTTTCTCTAATGAAAAAGATATCCCCATATCACTTTCCCACTTACTTATAGACTGGGGTTTCCCTGAGATCCTGTGTTGTTTCACTATTTGAATGGCTTTTGAGATAAGTTTATTTTTAGAGTGTTTGATTAGAGCATTTTTAAAATCAGGATGTTCCTTTATTCCCTGTGCTTTAATAAGATATTTTATTCTAACATAGTTATATAATTCTTTATCTGATAGTCCGTGTTGTATTTGGAGTTCTTGAAATTTTAATATCCCTAAAGGTGCAATTTGAGTTACTGTTCATAGGTTTCTGTCCTTCATATCGGACAGATTAATGTCTTGGATTAATTGTAGATTATGCTAGCTTTAGTGTACCTATAATCTTAATTTTATTAATGACAGGAGGCGAGTATTTGCTTAAGTCTGTCTTTACTAGAACTCCACAGCAGCACAGAAAAAACAACAATCAGAAATAAGTTAGGTACTATAAAACTCCCTTCTCCATACATCATTTCTTCTTTCAAGCTGCGACAAAACAGAACAAAAGGCAGAAAAAATAATGGGGAAGAAACAAAGTCCTAGATACAATGAATACAACAATGTCCACCATCTGAGAAGAACAGCCAAACTAGATGGCGTTGGACTGTAAACTGAAACGAGAGAAAAAACAGAATCGAACAGGTTGATTAGCCAACGAAATGTACTCTGAACAAACATATAGGTAACCAATGTAGCAAGCAAAATTACCTTAATATGTAGATATCCCAACCCTATGTATGAAAAACAGACATCAAAACAAGTGACAGGTAGCAGAGACAGCAAGCAGAGTTGCATACGTACCGGATGAACCCAAACTATTAAAATTAAACAAGGGAGGGATAAGAAAGGGTGGGAAATACTCGCCTCCTGTCATTAATAAAATTAAGATTATAGGTACAATAAAGCTAGCATAATCTACAATTTTATAACATGACAGGAGGCTTTGTTTTTGCTGTTTTGATGCTCAGCCGACAAATCCAACGCTGATTGTTTTGCTGGTACCTATTCTGGGAGATACTAGAGCAATCCTAAAAGGGCCTTCCAACTGCCAGAAGTGACAGTAGACGGATAGATGAAGATGCCAGCTGTCGAGGCACCCCAAATATGGGAAAACACCATCCGCTATTAGATCCATTGTACGTGGGGTTGCGACCTGTTTCCTAGCAGCCGGTCCATGAGCTGCCAAGCTGACCTATTAGCCAGTTCCCTGTAGGTGTAAAATGTCGAAGGTCATTTGCGGACTTAGAGCTGCAAGAAGAAACTGCCACCAGGTTGTGACTCTTGATGTGGAATATGTTTCCTTCGATAGTGCCAGGGCCACCAGGTGATGTGGCCTTGCAGCCAAATCTCCAACCTCAAGTAATACGTCTAAGTCTACCACCATTTCCGTAACCGAAACGAGTAGGGTTTTTTCGTTCCCTCATGACCTACCCGGTGAGTGGTCTCATCCGAGCATGGATCTATTATGCAGGCAAGTGTGTGGTCAAAACTAGCCATACCCTAAGAGATTCCAGTACTCCAAATTGACTGTGTAACCCGCGACTGCGGTAGAGAAAGAACTCCCAAAAGACATCCAATCAGGGTCTCAGACTAAACTTGTGAAGTGAAACGGTGGTCGACTACTCTAGGGGATTGTGAATCCCGGAAACATCCAAAAGAAGGGTAGAGTAGACAGGGTTGAGATTTCCATTCAGATACATCATCGAAGAGTGATAACTGGTCCGGATCCAATGGTAAGTGAGACCTGTATAACAAAGAAGAGTCCTCACGTGCTGTAGTGAGAGAGTGAAATAATCCGATTAATCGTTTGTACGATCCTTTTCCATTCCCGACCTGTCAAAATTAGTGTATGAGCTTCTGGTCTGCATACCACATACAAGCTAGGGTATAATATAGTGAGACCTTTAGGTCCCTGTACCCCTGACTGTCCAGGCACGTATCTCCACTTAGTAGGCCCTAGGTCAAGGGACCCAGGAACGTGAATCCGAGACATCGAAGTCAAGGTATCCCTATAGAGGAATACCTCCCTTCTTAGCCTGGAGTCCCGCGAACTCACAGTGTTCTCTAACACTTAGGCAAGACGTAAAGTCCTTTCACTCACAACAGATGACTCCAGAGAGCAGATATAGTGAAAAAACACGGGTCTAGCTTCATCCGTCCAAAGCAGGTGTTGTCCAGTTTGAGAACATCGGAAGCCATCTGAGCCTGCTACACCTCACAAGCCATACTCCAACGGTAGGCTGCGTCGTAACTTGACGTCCGTGTAGGAGCCGGGGACACACAGGGTTCCTCCCTAGAGTCCAAGTAGGTCTCCTCGATGGTAGTCGAATAGGTGGGTTAGTGAGAACCCAAAACCAAGACGGTTCCCGTGAGGGATTTAGAGTATAGCAGGAGGGCCCTCCATATCTGGATCATGTTCTCCAGATATGTTCTCAGAGGAGTAGTAGCAGTCCTGTCATCTTATCCCAAGATTATTAAGGACAAGGGAACCCCAGTCGACCGAGGACTCCGGTCTTTCCATGCGTATGGTGTACCTGCAGACCGAGCTTTGGGGTTCCCCAGCCTCGTCACCCGATCAAGGCGGTGCACGTGTGCCTTATGAAGGCCTCAGTATCTCATAACATCTTGACCTGGGGAAACTGTCTGCGCATTTTGTTCGGAGTAGTCTGCAACCTAAACAGAGCGCGATTGCTAGTTTGATATATCACAATTACACCAAAACCTGCACTCTTGTAATAACTGAGGCTCATCCATCAACCGTACAGTCTCCAGGAGTACCTCCAATAGGAATGGTATAGGGTCATCAACACAATGGGCCAATCCTGGGAGCTGAACCCAAGATGATCAGTTCAAGCATCCCCCATACTGTCCCATAAAGTCCCCTGGGTGTGTGCAAATAGGCGGGAACCTGCCCAGTAATACCTCTGAGACTATTTCTCGCGTGGGATACAGTGGCCCAGATCCAGTGTGGGATACAGTGTCCCCGCAAGGAAAATTAAATAAATTCAAAATAGAACTATCAAATAAACTAGGTACCAGGTGCTCAATGAATGAAAGAGATACTATGTAAAAAAGTATACCAAGTGTCGATGCACTACACCGTTCCTGCCTGCCTATACTAGAAAAACTAGAAGGTATGATAAACGGCTGGCTATGAGAGCGGAAAACTAGATATAGTAGTCCTAAATAATAAATGAAAAAGGAGACCCCCCCCCAATCTTAATCGAATAATTAAAAAGAAGCAGATTCTTAAGTAGAGTACATAATGTACTAGGTAATGCTCAACGCGCGTTTCGGCGCCCACGTGCGCCTTTGTCAAGAGCTAACCCGTTGTGTAATTGGGCGCCACTTTTTAAGCCCTCTAGTGCTGGCCCATTTTTCGTGACGTCATGATAATACTCAGACGGCACTATTTGTGGGCGTGGCTACGGGAGTGATGATAACCAGAAGAACGGCATGAGGAGGTTTATTATTAGTCAGGAGGGTCTCTCTGTCCGACTCCAGGGCTCTCTTATATGCTTTTTTCAAGAACTGATTGGGATATCCCTTATCCTTGAATTGTTGTCGAAGGATGTTAGCATGTATTTTAAATTCCTGGATAGTGCTACAATTCCTACGTGCCCTCAAATATTGACCGATAGGTATTCCTTGTTTCAAGGGCTTTGGATGGAAACTATCCCAAGTCAGGAGGCTATTGGAGGCTGTAGGCTTTCTAAAGAGTGTAGTCCGAATGGACCTACAACTATCAATTGAAATTGTCAAGTCCAGAAAATTAAGGGCTTTTCCACCAAATTCAGAGGTAAATCTTAAATTAAAATTATTTTCGTTTAGAAGATTCACAAAACGATCAAAGTCATTGGATGTGCCTTTCCATACAGTTAGAATATCATCTATGTATCTTGCCCATAGATGTATCATAGAGGAAAAAGATGAAAATTTGGCTGATCCAATGACCGTTTCATCTCACCAACCAAGTTTCCTCCCACTTCAATGACAAGTTCTACCACCAGGTGCAGGGAACAGCGATGGGGACGGCTTGTGCCCCATCATATGCAAACCTACACCTGGTGGTAGAACTTGTCATTGAAGAGGAAGTAATTGTGTGTTAAGATGAATCTCAATAGTTCCAAAATTAAATCAGAGTGTTTTAGGTAATTAGTTACTCTTTTTTCCAGGTAGTGTTTGACGTGTTGTATACCTCCTTCATGTGGTATAGAGGAGTAAAGTGCTTCTACATCAAGACTACATAGGCTCACAGGTTTAGGGAGTTTAAGATTTGACAGGAGTGCCAAGGTTTGCTTTGTATCCTGGATAAAGGATGGTAAGGACTCCACAAATGGGAGTAAAATTCTGTCCAAATAAATGCTCCCATTTTGTGTAAGATTATTAACACCCGATACAATAGGGCGTCCCTGGGGGTCCAACTTGTTTTTGTGGATCTTGGGTAGGCAGTAGAAGGTTGCTATCCCGGGGTTCCTATTTAGGATGAATTCATATTCATCTTTGGACAGCAACCCTCCACTGCGACCCATATCCAAAATCTGTTTATATTCGTCCAAAAACGCATTGCTGGGGTCTGCCTGGAGTACACGGTATGTGTCTGTCGTCAAGTATCTTAAGGGCCATTTTAACATAGTTGGGTGACTTCATAATAACTATGTTTCCGCCCTTATCTGCCGGCTTGATAGTAATTTCCCTATCCTCTTTAAGGGAGTGTAGGGCTTTGGTCTCGTGTTTGCTCAGATTCATATTTGGGTACAGGTCAAGATCCACATTTCTAATACCATCGATTTCCAACTGCCTCCAGAAACAGTTCGATGTTTCTGAAACTACCTATATAGGGGGGTGAAACGACTTTTTTGTTTAAGGTTTGTCTGGCTTGGAGTAATAGTGGGATCATTTTCTTCCAATAACGATACCAGAGCCATTAGGCCATCATAGTCCCTATCAGATAGTCCCAGGTCTTTCATTTTCCTATCAGTCTGAAGTTGGTGATATTTGCAAAGTGCCAATTTTCTGACAAACAGGTGTAGGTCTTTAATCCACACAAATTTATTGTATGCGGGAACTGGCACAAACGATAAACCTTTTTTTAGTATCTTAGTTTCGTGGACATTTAGAGTACGGTCAGAGAGGTTGATAATTTGGGTCTCAGTAACGTCTTCTCCTCATATAACTTTCTCCCCCCCGCCTCTGTTTCGGGTTTGGTACGTTTGTCGGGACAGCTCGTCCAGGTGATCCAATTCTAAAAAATTAACTCCTTTTTTGAGGATACCTCTGGTGTTAATTTGATTAGAAGAGGTGGGAATGGGTGGTCGGCTTGGTGGTCTATTCTCATTATCAGTGTCAGAAGAGTCATAGTCTGAAGTCATCGTATTGTCTGAATTTGTTCTAATTCTACGAGAAAAGGAGCCATAAATGCGGCCTGTTTCATAATCCTTTAGATCTCGAATAAATTTGTGGTGCTTCCTAAACTTGATAGATTGTTGGAATTTGTCCAAATTTTGTTTGAGTTTAATCTCAAGTTGGTTATATAGAGGATCTGTCTGAAATAGGTTGGTTTTATCTATTTCCTGTTCTAATTTCTTATCAATCTCCTCGTTTAATTTTTTCGTACTTCTCTAATAATGTAACATAACTCCGTGCCAGTATCCGGCTGCTAGCGTAAGCGGGCCGCACCCGTTAATAACAAAATTTAGAGTCTACATCCGTGTCCGGTTCCTTCTATGAGAATGTGTTCACTCAAAACAAGACCTCAGTATCGGGCTGAGGTTGAGGGAGGGCAGCACCCTCTAATAAAGAGTCAGTGTCTGGTTCAGTATATGAGAGGGGTTCACTCCCTACTCGTGTAAAGAAAAATATCAGTCTCTGGCCGAGGTGATGGAGGGCCGCACCCTCTTGTAATCCAAACTAGAGTCCATATCAGACTCAGACTGAGTGAATGCGGTGGTTCACGCTCAATAATATCAGCGTAGGAATGAGGTCCCTCTCTGACCATTAGATCTCTCTCTGAAACACTCTCTGAGAGATGGGAGCAACTAGGAGTAAACCAGACCGTTTGTAGACGGAGTAGTATTTAACCTCGGGCCGTGCCCATTATCAACAACCGAAAGGGTTGCTGAGAGAATGTAACATCAGGAAAAGGTGATGGAATGTACCCACGGACCGCCCAGACTGAATGGGCCAAGAACCAAGCATGACGCAGAAATAACTACCTAGACCCAAAAAGGGGTACCGGATATGCAGCTAAATGATAGCTGCTAAAGGTAAGGGATTACCATGATCCCCTGTTGGCGTCTGAGCACTGGTCCCTGTATGTGCATCAGAACAAAACTCTCCGTGGAGATGTTCCACCTCCTGGCTGAAGCAACCTGTGGCTGCCTGCTCAGGAATCTTAGTAGAAGCCTTGTCTCTCAGGGCATGAGGTTTAGGACCTTCACCCTTCCAATCATATATATGTGCCTGTATACCAATGTCACTTCAGGACATATGGCAGCCATGTCAATAGTGCATACTGGGCTTTCCTCAGTAACATTCCCCCAGGCCTGCGGCCAAAAGGGGGTTCAGGCACAGACTAACGTAGGCCTATAGATAGGGCACAGATGTAGCCGGCCAAACAAATGGGCGCAGCCAGAGCGGGCCAATCCAATGGGCACAGACATAGCAGGCCAATCAATGGGGCACAGACATAGCAGGCCACTCCCAGGAGATGTGATCTGCCAGCAGCAGAGGGACCAATCTGCGTGGGTAGAGCCCCCTTTTATTTATTTATATATATATAAATATATATTTATATCTCACTCTCTCTCTCTCACTCTCCCCCTCGGGTAATTAGATGTACAACTCACTCAATATACCAAAGCTTCCTGGTAGTGTGAAAGTGCGCTAATCGCACTAAAGTAAGAATTCTGGCGGAACCCCAAATGCCCTGTAGCCACTGGACACTGGGGTATCCCATCCCAGTGTAGTACAGATATAGTACCCAAACTGCATCCCAAGCTAGTTCTTCAGTATTATATCTAGAATGGGGCTATGGGGACTGGTTTGGGTAAAATCCGATGCAGGGCCAAGGAAAAACATATAATAGTCTGAAATGGTCACCTGAAAAACTGTCACGTGTGTATGTAACCTGATGTAAAAATGGTGACATGTTACTGTTAGTTTTAAGCACAAAAGTAAAAGCAGGTACAGAAAACCCAAAGCACTCAATAAGAGAATAGAAAATCAAGCTGTTAAACTTATGACATCCAAGTATGACAATTTTGCATAGTATTTAGTGATCAATAATTCAATGTTTAGTGAATAGACCAAGTGTTCACTTGCTGTAGGTATAAAACGAGTACAATAGTCTATTAAACAAAATCTGCAGAAGGACTGATAGAAGAGCCTGACCTCCCTCGGGGAAAGGATCCTGCAAACAGACCTCCATAGAGGTATGTACAGCCGAGGGAGGAGTCGCGATTAAAGCGGAGCCGGCCGTGGCAAGCGACCACGTGTGGAAGAAGACCCAGCCGCCAGTACTCGTGTACGAGCACAAGTACCCCAGGGACTGGCAGGAGAAGCACAGGAACCGCCAGAGGTTTGACTCGGTCGCGGAGCCCAGGAGATCGGAGGGGGTGAGATTGTCAGCCTCCAGCAGACCCCGGGTGGCACCTACACAACCCGTCATATAAGGGCAAAAGGAAGCCTAAAAACGGAAAAAGCAGTATCTGAGGGAAGGCAGAGACCGGGGGGTCGGAGGGGGTGAGACTGTCAGCCTCCAGCAGACTCCGAGTGGCACGTACACAACCCGTCATATAAGGGCAAAAGGAAGCCTAAAAACGGAAAAAGCAGTATCTGAGGGAAGGCAGAGCCCGGGGGGTCGGAGGGAGTGAGACTGTCAGCCTCCAGCCGACCCCAGGCGGCACAAATACAGCTCGTCATAGAGGGGCAGAAGGAACATAAAAACGGAAAAAAGAGTATCTGGGAGTAGGATGAGGGGGATAAAACAAGGACATAGAAAGGGCAGAAAAGGCCTGCCAAGACTCCCCGAATGCATGTATAAACATACAGACCAACAATGATGCATAAAGTACAGATGAATAGTAAACTCCCAGACAGATTAAATAAAAATACTGAAAATAAGCAATTAAAACCCAAAGCCACCAACTAAGAGCAGGAGGCAGTTGTACTCTGACCTGTACTGATGCGGAGCAGCAAAGAAAGAGGAAATGATGTATGGGGAGGGGAGTTTTATAGTACCTAACTTTTTTCTGATTGGTTGTTTTTTCTGTGCTGCTGTGGAGTTCTAGTAAAGAGAGACTTAAGCAGATACAAAGTCTCCTGTCATGTTATAAAATTAAAGGATCACTATAGTGTCAGGAAAACAAAGCGGTTTTCCTGACACTATAGTGCCCTGAGCAAGTATATAGGGATAGGATTTAGTTAGGGGGTTTTTAGACAATATTGTGTATTTTAACATATTACAGGTTTTTTGGTCACCTTTTTGTGCCAATCTCCTTTGTTATATGCACTTTCCTTGGTAAATTTTATACTTCAAGTAATCCTAAGGTGGGGATAATACCACCAACGCTGTGTTCATAGAGCAGTCAGCCTGCTCTATCCTTTGAAGTATAATTTTACTTCATTTTATTAGAGATTACTCTATTTTATTGAGAGCACTATCTGTTGCCTTCTTTATTCCTTCCTGAGTGTGTGGACGTGGTGAACATTTGCTGCATATCCTTTAAAGCGGGGATTATACCACTGTACGCCCATACTGCTAGAGCTGGTTATAGCTCTTCTAAATGTAAGTGTTCCATTGTTATCTTATACTTTTATCTGATTGAATTATACAGTCTGCACTATCACCTGCTCCTGTTTCCTGTCTGACCTTTCTTATACACTTCCCCTGACCAGTATCACTCCATGATATGATATTACCATGTTTCCAGTCAATATTGGGGTTGTGTAGACATTATCTATTGATAAAGAAGGGGGAGGTGATCGCCTGAAAACACAAATCCTCTGTGTGTAACAGACCAGAATGCATAGTCAACTGTTCTGTTTCATGAGTGATTAATGGAGAATATAAAGGTCTACCATCTATGACCTCAACGGCCAAGGGTGTATTCTTTCTTAGGGGTGGTCCTGACAAAACCCTTGTCTATAAAATTATCAGCTGCTCTGAAACTAAATGAGAGTTATAATGTCTATAAACATTTCTCCCCTAGTTAAGGGGATCGGGAGGAGTAAACAATTATGAGGCAGTATAGAGGATTCTCGTGTCACACCCAAGGTCGGTCCCCTGAGCAACCTTAGGGGCGACAGTTTTACGGACGCACCAGATAAGTCAATCTAAGATGCCCCTTTTGGCCACAATATAAGCAGGGCCCCTCTTTTCTCCTATATTGATTCTTCGGCTCAGCCAGTTTGGTCACCGCTAGTTGCATGGGCTCAGTATGTGTAGATGAAGAACCGAGGCCCTAAGAGTTATTATAACTGTAGGACGTCTAACACGATTCCTCTGTTGGGCTCTCTAACTTAACCGGTTTTCGATGTCGATAAGATAATCGATAAGGTCCTCTGGAAGGTCCCTGGCTGCCACCTCATCCGGTAGGTTATCATTAACACCTTCCATAAATGCATATACTAAACCACTATTGGTCCAATCCACCTCAGAGGCAAGAGTGCAGAAACTAATATCATATTCCGTTATGGATCTCTTTCCTTTCTTAATCCTTATAAAAGATTTAGTAGGTTGCTAAAACCCCTTACTGAAGGCTTTTACAAAGGTCTAGGCCTTGGGGAGATAGCGCAGCTAAGCGGACAAGGGCACATGTATGAGTGTGGGGATAGATGCGTGGGATCAGGAATGTGTGGGTGGGATTATGTTTTGTGTGAGTTAGTGGGGGGAGGACTTACCTCAGTGCCACTTGGTATTCGGGCCAGCAAACAGCTTCCTTTTCTCCTGCTCCTGTTTGTCTGGGCCTGTAGGTTTACCAGCTTGAGGGAGGGAGATTGAGACTTTCTGGCTTCCCTCAGAGCTGCTGCAGCGTGGATGGTGGCCGGCATCTCCATGACCCAGGTGCTATTCTTACCCCAGGTATGGCTCCCGGTGTGGGCCGCCCCCCCCCCCGCGGCCTGTCTCCCTCTGGGGCCTTCCCTGTGATCTCGGCTCCTGTGGGCCGACTTGGCACTGGCCAGCATTAAGGGCTGTCGGATTGTTTGGGGGTACCCTGCCACTACAAGGGGGTACCCTGCCACTACAGGGGATTCCCTTTCGGCTCCCCTTTGCCCTCCTTCCCCTGTTCTCTCTGGGTGGGTCCTGTTTGGAGCGTGGGCTCACTCCTCTCTGTTGCTCTTCACACAGATCCTGGCTGCTGTTACTGGAACTGCCCAGCAGGTGGCGCCTGGAACACCTTTGATGTACACAGTGGACTCTGGCTTTCATGTCTATTTGCTTCACCTTTTGTGCCTTCTGTGCTGCGGTTGGAGCGCCAGGCTTTCATGGTTAAGTGTTTTTTCCCTGTTAGATTAGTCATTCGGTATAAAAAAAAATGTTAAAAAATAAAATAAAATAAAGAGGGTTCTATAGGGTCTTTGTAGGTTTCGGGATCTGTGGGAGCAGGGGTGGCAGTTCGCGGGGAGTCCATTAGGGTGAGTCGACTTAGGTCTGTTTGGTCATTGGACGCCCTCTGCGCGGTCCTGGGGTTGGTGGTGGTCCGTCGAGGGACCCTCCTTCCCCTCTGTTCGTCTGTGGCCCTGGTGGCTGGGGTTTGCGCTTGAAGCAAGTATATAGAGATAAGATTTAGTTAGGGGGTTTTTAGACAGGTCGGTACAGCGTTTGTGGAGGTCACGGATGATTTCCGCTATGGAAAATTCCTGAAACATTTGGGAATTGGTTACGGGCCTTTTTTCTATCCTGGCGGGCGTTGTTGGGGGGGAAGTCTCCCTGGAAATGCTCTGCGTGGTTCTGCTGTCAGGGCATTCTTTGGGACGCTTGGTACGGCAAGCGGGATGACCCTTATTGGTCCAGGGGCCAGATGGACATAGGTACCTGGCTCTCGATTATGACTCGCCCGGCGTTTTTCAATACTTTCTTTGGGGGGACAGTGTGGGGTTCATCCTCCTCCCCATAGGCCTCCCTATGTGGTTGGAACTTCATGCCCGTCCCAGCTTCCGCTGTTTCAAGCAGGGACACATTGAGCTTGGGGCTAAGGGCGACTGCTCCAGTGTTAGTAAACCCAACCGTGGCTCGACCTTTCAGGTTCATTGGGCTGCGCAGATCACATTGGGAGGTTTTGAGCAGGGTTTTTGGCATTCCCTTTTCGGAGCACCTTTTCCCTCTCTCGGTTTCGGGCACTTGGGTCTGTATAGGATGTCCCGCAGGTGGTTCGGGAGTAGCTTGCTAAGAAAGCCTCCTAGGGCCGGATGGATCCCCTCTATGTCCTATTGGAGGGTTTATTCACCTTTGGGCAGGGTGCTAAAGTAGGACCAAAGGTAATGTCACAGAATCCCTCATTTGTCGTACCCTCCTTGGGGTTCAGTGAGTGGTTGACGTTGCTGCCGACCGCTGCCGGGTTTGCTTTGCGTCCTTCGACACGGCGGTTCACAGGGTTCAGGCTGCAGGCCGAGGGGCCTTGCTGGCTGGGGCGGTTGTGGAATCGGCTTTCCAGCTGCTACCATTGCACCCAGATGGTCACCTTCCCCTGGGTTGTACCTTTGGCTGTCATTTTCTGTGTTTATGTGCCTCCGTAAGGGTGACTCCCTATCCTATTTGTTTTTGAGAGCTTTAGTGATTTCCTGGCATGGGTGGTGCGTAGGGAAGCGGGGGTCGGTCCCCTTCTGCTTTGCCAATTAAGTTTGAGATGGTTATATTAATTATGTGGAATGAAGTGAACAAGTTTTTAGGTCTCAACCTCCTCTGCTCTAAAGGGTTAACCTTAGGTTACCTGTTATGTCGTGCCTACCGAGCGGGGATGAGGTCGGCTGGTGGTAGGCATTAGAAGGAAAATGAGTTTTTATGCCGATGCGGGAGGTGAGAGGAAGTGGTACATAGGCGCATGGTCAGTTTATTGGCAAGGACGGTTGGGTTCACTGTATGACACTGTGTTAAGTGATATATATATATATATATGTTTTTGGTTACAGAAAAGAGAAATTATTAAATTATGGATGTGTTATACAGTATTTGTCATATGCTATAATAAATGCTGTGGCCTGTTTCATCCATACTACGTTGTCTGTCATTATATTGGAGGGGTGAATTGGGTTGTATGTATTATGCTGCATCGCGATTCCCCACTACGTACATACATGTAGTCATACACCAATTCCTTGTTTGCCTCTCATAAAGGAGTAGCCATTCCAAGGCCTTGTCAGTTAATTGGTGCATAAAGAAACCAACCTTGGACCTTTCAGTGGGAAAAAAACCTGGGAGATGTTTCAAACTGAAACTCTATTTGATTTATAAACCCTCTACACGTCTTAGGATCACCACTGTATCTAGGAGGTAGTGTCAGGTTTGTGGTCATACTGTTCTGAGCAGAAGCTTCAGTCACGACAGGCACAGGCTGGGGGGGCATAGGTGCAAGGTTCTCAGGAGGTAGGTGGGCAGTTCTGGCTAACCAGGTCTGGAAGGTCTGAGCGAATTGGTCCATTTCCTCAAATTTAGCC